ATATAATCATTAATTAATAAGTAAAAAGTTTAATTTCAAATTTTAACTCAATCGAACAAATACTTGTGAAGAAATCATTATTTTCAGATCATTATTATTTAGTTCTGATTTTTCTTGATTATTCCTAGCATATTTTCCAAGTGATTCCCAATTTTTTCAATTGGTTCTGATGTTGTCTATGATTTTTTTAGCATTTCTTGGGTTTTTTTTTCATTTCCAGGGTTTTCTTACTGTTTCCTACCATCTTCTACTATCATCTACCCAAAAATCTGTCAAGTAAACAATGGAAGATATAGGATTTGAACTTGGGTCACCCACATGACAACTAGGTCAACAGTCAATCAACACTTTGCTAAACTAATGCTTCTAAATGTTTTAGTCTTACAATAGTTATTTTTGAGAGTTTTAGATCTATATAATTAATAATTATTTTCTCATAGAAATAAAATGGCTACGACCACCTAGGAGAAAAGTAGATGAGTGGTCCGCTTGACGTGACTAAATCGTATGGTCGTTGAATGCACACGATTCAGTGTCAAAACAAAGTCCTAATCTTACCAATTTATGATTAATCAAAGTAATTAATTAGTATAATGGTAATTAAGGGTCGAATCCACAGAGAATTAGGAAAATTTGAGAGATATCTTTGAAATTCGGACAAATCTAACGATGAAATTACGTTAGACATTGGGCAATTTAGTATATTAAGAAAGATAACTCAATTTAATATCCACGGAATCAAAAATCAGGTGATTTGGATGAGAATTCGAAGAGTAATCGAAGTTTGAAGTTAAGAGAAATTTTCGTATCGCGAAATGATTAAAAACAGAAATTAAAACTAAATTAAACTTAATCTACAATACTTAAAGTAAAATTAACACTAAATGATGAAATATTAAGATGAAAACAAACAATCTAACCCAAATTAGCCTTTGAAATGATCCAATTAATCGCGAGATGCAAGGTTTTTCATTCCGAATTTTCGAAGACGAAAGAGGAGTTCAAGACTTGATTTCTTCCAATTCTTTCAATCAAACATTGAAATTCAACATCCAACAGAAGAGGAAATGAGTTGCGAACACAATGAAAAAATGGCGCGCGAATTGGAGCTCCAAACAAAGAGAATTTGAAGATTGATCGCGGGGCATTCTTCCGTCGCGAAGAACGGATTTTATCAAATTCGGAAATGATCGTGGCCGTCCGATCTAATGGAGTTGATCACGATGGACGATCGCGATGAGACGCCTCTTCACGAATCGTCACGACGATTCGATGATCGTCCGATCGTGATCGTGCGGTTAAGATGTGATTGGATGTCCATCTGATGTGAATAATCTGGACCGTTATAACTCTCGATCAGACGGTCGCGATTTATTCACTTAAGTGAGTATTTAGGCACGTGGTTGATCTCTGATCGCGTGGACCTCGATTCCACGTTATCTACGCACGCTATTTGTCGCGATGTCGATCGGACGCACAAGATCACGCCACGCGTCCTGCACATAAGAAAACTAAGGGACTTTAGTCCCACACGGGAAAAACAAAGGAGTATATTTGGATATATAAGATATGACGATTAAGAGGGATTAATACTTTGTCTTCCGATAATCGGAAGACCTATATATTTTATTAAATAAATATATATAGTAAATATAAATATGCCACGTGTCACATCAGCGCCACGCAGGCGCCCGCGTGCTGTCCACGTGACATAGCCACGTGGCCCCGAGTACCACGTCGCATCCACGTGTACACGCGCGACATATAACCCCTTTTTTCGATTTTTTTAATTAATTTAAAACATTTAAAAATCGAAAATAAAAATAAATAAATTCAGAAAAATTCCAGAAAATTCTATAAAATTGTAAAAATCATAACTTTCAAAATACGACTCCAAATTAATTCAAATTTGTTTTGTTGGATTCAAAATTGAATAATCTATCATTATAAAAGGTCAAATTATTAAAATAAGAAGAGAATAAATTTTAATTAATTTTATACATTTATGTATTATATAAAATAAATTTATATAAATACATAAATGTTAATAAATATCTTTTCTCTCATATTTTCACCTTTAAAACATGATTATGCTCATAAATATAATTAGGATTAAAGATTGTAATGTGTAATTATTTATAATAATCCATAATTTAGTGTATTTTAAGATCATAACATGAATTTACACAAAATGATAGAAATATACTTAAAATATGATAACATGCATATATTTGTAATGATTAATGCCTTAATTTACATTAATAATTATATAATTACATGCATAAATAGCTTGTTATCACCGCTGCCACACAACAGAAGTGTGACGAAATCATACATTGGCTCACATAGTGCTTCGGCCTCACTGATGTGGAAGAGGAGTGGTGTGAATGGTTGTGTGGGTCCTTTGTAATTAGAGCTCAACTTATGGTTCCTCCCTACTTGGGTACCCAGCTTGAGGGCTCAATTGTTAAGTGCTAGCTAGGCAATTGTCCCCCCCTTTTTATTATTTCATATTTTTATCATAATAAACTCACAAAACTTTAGAAATATATCCTAAAATTTTCAAAATAATCCATAAAATTCAGAATAAATTCCGAGAAATTACAAAAAACTTAGAAAACATCTCAATGATCCCAGAACTTGAAATATTATTTTTTTGTTTAACCATTATAATGCACAATCACATTTAACTTTTTATTCTCAAAGAAGTATCAATAAATCAATGTAAATGCATAAAATCTAGTTTTCTTCTGAAAATTATATCAATATGTATATTTTTTAACAAAATAAAGAATAAATATAGATAAAAATTGACATTTTAATCATATAATTTAGAGAATTATCAAGGTGATTTAGGGTGAGTGATATCTCATTTGTAACATTTGAAGTGGATTCTTAAACATGTTGATCTTTTTCCCTGAATAGACTTGCCTAGATGTTCTATTTTTGGTTATCATTTGGTCAAAAGGTTTGCAAATAGAAGATGATGTGAGTAATACAGTAAGTAAATCCAAAAAACTAGAAATAGGAATTATGGACTTTGTCTCTCAATCTTCTATGGCTTAACTAGCCCATGAACATATAGTTATCTAAAATGTGGCTCTTTGTCGTGAATATAATGTGAATAATAACCCTCCCTAAGTGGATGACATATATTCCACTATTAAGATTGCTTAGTTACTTTTGGAATTGAATTGCTATAAATTATTAAAATACGTATTTTATAAGCAATAATTTACGATTATCGAACACTCCAAAGTTTATTGCAGGAAAATAGAAATAATTCCGAGAACCAACTAGGCTATGTTTTAGAAAAAAATTCAGGAGAATTATAGGGAGACTAAAAATTAGAAAAATATAGGCCCTAAGAAATTTTTAGTGAAATTTAGAAATGTAGATCAAGATTATGTTTGGATTTCTATTCGGAAATAAATTTTATTCAGTTTAGATGTCTCTCTAGGTGGAAGAGGTTCCTTGTACATTGAGAATATATGCTCAAGGCACATGAATAGAGGGAGAAGGATGCTTGCCTCAGTAAAGGAGGTGAAGTAACCTTTGTGGGAATGAAAAATAAGAAAATATATAGAAATAAACAAATAGATGAATATGTTTTACTTGAAAAAGTTAGGCTAGTAAAAGGTTTAACACATTATCCAAGCTACATAAGATAATTATGTGATACTAGAATGAAACTTCATTTTGAAATTGATTTTTGTTGTCTTGAAGATAAAAAATAACAATGTTATTATTATTGCTGCTAGAAAAAAAGTCTATATAGTTTATTGAAACCAAATATTTACTTTGCTCATATGATTCTAATAACTTGACATATTTATGTCAAAGACATCTAGGACATACAAGCATAAGAACAATAGAAAACCTAAAAAAATTAAAATTAGTTTGAGAAATGTCAAATATAGACTTAGATGAGGACCTTTATTGTGATACATGCATTGGAGGAAAATTAGTTATAAAATATCACAAATTAAGGAAATAATCATAATTTTTGGACCCTTAGAATTATGCCAGATTGACCTTTTTGAGATAATAGTTCATGCTAGTTTGATATCTTTCTTACACCAAAAAGATGATACTCTTGAGAAATTTAGAAAATTTAGCAATAAATTAGAAAGTGAAATAAATGTGAGGATCAATAAGATTTGAAGTGATGATTGTGGCAACTTTGAAACTCTGAAATTCTCAGAATTTTGAGATGATCAAGGAATTACTCATAAATTCTCTTGTATGACAACCCCTTGATAAAATGTACTTGAGAAGAAAAATAGAAGGTTAGATATTTTCTAGAATAATGTTAGCATAAAATAATATGCCAAAAATACCGTTGGGCTGGCAGAATAAACATTGATAGGTCAATTTTAGATGGTTAGGCGAATGGGAGAGCACGCTGGGATGAACTTATTTGCCTTTCATGTTTACCCCAGCTCAGTTGTCCGCTTGGTCTGTTCTCTGGTATATGGGGATTCCTCATAAGTGGCGTCCCTCAAGCCGGTCCAATTTGTTCCCACTCATTAAATTCGGTTCCAATACGTGACCAATGGGATTTGATCGCATCGCAGTCGCATTGAATTGCGTTGCTCTTCCGGCAACTACCCCGACCAGTTACATCCCACGAGATGGATTGGCCCATTCTTATCCTGCAGGATGAACTCCTGCGTTCCTTACTGATGAGTAGCCCCCTAAAAACTCGTAACCGTGCAGCTGTCCACGTCCCGAGATATGGTGGGGATGCGATTAGAGGCAGGGAAGGGAGGCATCCGCAACCACACTCAATAGCTTTCACTGCTGAAAGGGGCATCGGTAGACTTTCTCTGCCAAGCTTGCCGTCGGCTTGATGCCACCCGGTTCCCTTTGATTCTCTCCCTCCGCCCCCTCCTCCCCATCCTCCCCAACCTCTTTCTGTCCGGCAGGGCGCTCGTTCGCTGCAACCGAACAACACTCATTCACCTTCCCAGATTCAAGATTCTGCTGGATAGCGAACGATGGGAAGAGGCCTGGACGAGAAGGATATCCCGGCGGAGTTGGTCAGGCTCGCTGCTCTCCTTCAAGGAGGGAGGCCGCCTCGTAATTGCCGGCTCACATCGAAGCAACTGGAATCTCTAGCGGCCTGTTGCGATGCTTTCATCCCCTCGGCCGAAGTTCCCGGCGGCATCGCCTCTGACGAGGATCTTGATCGGTTCTACGGCACCTCCGCGTCCATGGTTACGATCCCGGAGCATGTAAGTATGGGAAAAACCGTATGACGATAAATTTTGTCTATTAATTTTTCTGTGACGACCCATTAGAGCCATTATCTCTTCAGTTACCCAGTTTCGAACTTTTTTCATGATGATGTCCGCAAAAGCTCCCTCTTCAAAAGATACAAAGCAACCAGATAACAAAAAGTCTATGAAATTTTCATTCCCGAAATTGCCTTCTTTTCTCTTGCTCTTAATGGATAGATGGTAGGGATCCTAGGAACCTATGAAATTGGATGTTAATGTTTCTTGTGCCAGTTATATCCATCGACCTACATAATACTAACTTTTAAGGATAATTGACGAGAATCGCAGTAGACTTCAAATCTTGGTTAATCTCTGGAAAAGTGGCCAAAACATATTTCTCACTAATGACCCCCCCTCCTTCCCGTTCTCACGGCCATTCCACTCCGAAGATTGCGGGTCTGATATCGAAGAAGCAACTGCATCCAGCCATCCCGCTCTTGCGGATGGCGTTGTGGCTCCTGTCAACGCGGTGTGGCACCTTCGCCATCTGCGGCGGAGCGAGCCTGTCGAAGAGCTTCCCTTATTTCCGGAAGTTCTCTAAGGTGGAGGAGCCGCGGCGGGAGGAGATTCTTGTGAATCTCTCGAGGAGCTCCTTCGGCCTCAAGAGGCTACTCTTTCGGTGCCTCAAGATCCTCACCGTCCGCCTCTACTTTCAAAGGGTGAGTGCGAGAGCCCTTCAGACTCTGCTAGCCGCCGATCGATTCCTGAGTTGGATAATGTAAAACAGTTCTCAGTCGATTCCAGGCAGACGAGATGAACGGGAACCCCTCGTGGAAGGCGATCGGATACTGCGGCCGCGACCCAGACCTCCCGACCCTCGACGATCGGTGGAGGAGAGCCGCCCCGGTGGATGAGGCCTTGGAAACCCTTTTCCCAGATCTTCAGCTAATGGGCCCTCTTTACCAGTCTCTGGTTGACATGTCCGGCACGGAACAGCCCCCAAACTTCAGAGCGCTCCACGAGCTCGGCTCTCCCGTCGCCGGCAATGGCTCCCCGCTGACACTCCAATGCGACGCCGTCGTCGTCGGGTCTGGCTCCGGCGGCAGCGTTGTAGCTGGCGTCCTCGCCAACGCCGGGTACCGCGTCATCGTCCTCGACAAGGGCCGCTACTTCCCCACCGCCACCCTCTCCCTCCTCGAGGGCCCCTCCCACGAGCAGATGTACGAGAAGGGTGGCATGGTCTCTTCCGACGACCTCAGCGTCCTGGTTCTCGCCGGTGCAACCGTTGGCGGTGGATCTGCGGTCAACTGGTCTGCCTCCTTCACGACGCCGGACCACGTGCTCAACGAGTGGCGGGAGGAGCATGGGCTGAAGCTCTTTGGCCAGCCGGCCTTCCGCGAAGCACTGGAGGCTGTGTGCGCCCGCCTTGGGGTCAGTCCCTCGACATCAGCTGGCACCCCGGCGGAAAGGCTCAGCAGCGCTGTTCTACGGAGAGGCTGCTCTACGCTTGGATACCCAGTGGTGAACATCCCGGTCAACGCACCGCCGGGCCACGACTGCGGGTGGTGCCACCTCGGTTGCAAGGACGGCAAGAAGAAAAGCACCCTTGAGACGTGGCTTGCTGACATGACGGCGTCCGGCAATGGGGTGATCCTCGCCGGCTGCCGAGCGGTCAAGGTCACGACAAGTAGACAGAAAGGAGGCCGGAGGCCGGTGGCCACCGGGGTAATAGCCAAGTTCAAGTACGGCGAAGTCGTGGTGAAGTCGAAAGTGACGGTCGTGGCCTGTGGAGCGCTCAACACTCCGGGCTTTCTCAGAAGAAGTGGATTGAAGAATCCAAACATCGGCCGGCACCTCCATCTTCATCCGACCGTCATGGCTTGGGGTTACTTCCCCGACGGGACCACGTCCGGAAACTGGTTGTCACCGGAGAAGAAGAGCTACACCGGAGAGCTACTAACGACGATGTCGCCAGTTCCGGGGGAGTCTACTTACGGAGTCATCATCCAGACCCCGGCGATGCACCCCGGGGCCTTCTCGGTTCTGACGCCGTGGATCTCCTCTGCCGACTTCCGGCGGCGTATGATCCGGTTTCCTCGCACGGCCACCCTCTTCGCGCTGGCCCGGGACCGCGGGTCAGGGTGCTCCAGGAAATACCCGGCGTCGCTGTCATACAAGTTAGATGCCGCCGACGAGAAAACGCTCCAGCAGGGGATGGAGAGAATGCTGAGGATACTGGCGGCGGCAGGGGCCGAAGAGGTGGGAACGCACCACCGCGATGGGGAGGTGTTCAAGGTCAAGGGGTCGAGCCTGGAGGAGCTGGAGAGTTACGTGCGGCGGGCTAGTGGACGGGGGCTGCGTGACTCGGCCACTCCAATAAGCACAGCGCACCAGATGGGGAGCTGCCGTATGGGTATGGACCCGAGGACGTCCGCGGTGAACGAGAATGGCGAGACATGGGAGGTAGGACGGCTCTTTGTGGCGGACACCAGTGTGTTTCCAACGGCGCTAGGAATCAACCCCATGGTGACCGTGCAGGCCATCGCCTACTGCACGGCGCAGAACATTCTCGAGGTCCTCCAGGCGTCCTCTGGTTGAGAGGAGTGGGAGGGGTGGAACGGGGCAACAAGACAGGAATGATCAAGAATTTACACAGAAATGTGTGACTCTGGCATGTGGAACACGTATTTATGCTGTTCCTACGAAGATCTCGAAACGGTGATTATAGAATCACGTAAAACTTTTTATTGCAAGGAGTACATAGACATAATCGGACAGTTAGACTAAGAGTGCCCGGTGAGATGGAGATTACGAAATTCTTATGGTCAAATGAATGGTAGAAGGAACTTGATTAGGAATATTCTTTTAAAGACTCAGGTTTCGGGACAGTTCTTGAATGATAGGGATATTTGTTGGCGAGTCCACCTTAAGATCACATCATGTGTCTTGCTTCAACTAGTTAGAAAGATGGGAAACAACTTCCTTTCCTTATTTAAAGTCAACTAACCACAAAAAATTACTATTTCATGAATAGTAATAATTATAATTATTATCACATGAGAATAACAATATTAGGTGTAAATTAAAATTCAAAGTTTTTATATTGGCTTCAATGAAATTTTTCGGTGAAATTTAATCCCTAAATTCATGGAAATAGGGTAAAAAACATTCAAAATGTTGGCAGAAATGATAATTTCATAGCTATTATTGTATATTGTTTATAATAGAATGCAAAACTAATAATATGTAACTCAAAAGGGATAACAAGTCATTCTAGCTGATCATCTCCATCAATTTCATTGTCTATATTCATATCATAGTCGTATCTACATTTTGAAAATTCTTAAATTATTTTTCCAATGTAATTCATTCAATATTCTTTTAGTTGGTTGAATATTTTTCTATGATTGAAAGGAATAAAATTCTTGATATGCCTGATCTTTTAGAAAAAATTAAAATGAGATGGAGTTGCATCTTCAAAAACATGTAAAAAGCAAATGAAACTGACTCTTGTTTAGATGAGATATTGATCGTCTCTTAGTCATTGTATAAAGAGATGTTAAATTTTATATTTAAAAAACAAGATTCACATTAAGCTAAATCCAATTGTTGTAGTGAGTTCAGGTCGATTCCACAGGGAAGCTAACAAATCTTGTGAGAATTTATTGCGTTCATTAAAAAATCTAAATATAAGTAAAATCGATGAAAGAAACAAAGAAGAGGTGGAGAAGAGGTCTTATGCGCTCAATTAGGCACGACCAGCTCCTGACCTTCCCTTGTCAGCATCAAATCCTCAATATGTAGTAGTTATCAGCTTGAATACGCAAGATACCTAAAGAAATTTTAGATTCTAATCTACGGATAGCATAGACAACATCAGATAAGAGAGATGAGAAAGAGACGAACGAAAATGTGGAGATAGAATGGGGAAGAAAGAAATGAGGGGGAAATCATAAGAGAGCGGGATGAGAAAGAGGTGGAAGTCGCGAAGAGAGAAAGAAGAGAAGAGAGAGGAGAGCAATAGGGGGAGGAGATAATGAAGATATAGAAATGGCTTTGTTGGTGGGGGAACCCGCCGGCAAAGAAACGAATGATTTGTTTAGGAAATATTCTTCAAAATTAGATGCAAAATTAGAAGGAATAAAGATCATAAACAAGTTTAGAATGGATTCAATCAAAGAAAACATTCAGAAATTGAGATTAAAAGGATTAGAACAAAAAATCCCCCTTTTCACTCTTGAGATGTGGCGGACAAACTATTAACATATCAGTTTTGTAGGATAATTAGGGTTAAATGATTAAAAATTATCATTGTGACCTAAGGCAAAGTTAATGAAATAGAACGAAAAGAACACCAAAATATATTTTAGAAGCATTTCATGAATTTTTATTCAAGTCTACATATTAACCTTGAGAAAAATCTAATTTAGTCCATTGATTATAATCTAACGCAATATCCAAGGCATGGCCTTGAGATTTTTTTTTGTGTCTTTTCATTTTTTTCTCTTTTTTCTCGTAGTCAAAAGCTTATGGGACATAATGGCCCATTAAGTGAGGATTTAAATGGGAAGAGGGAAGGAGAGAGAAGGGGGCTTTTGGCAGGAGCTAGGGCACGGAGCTCTCCCCTATTCCCAGTTCTTGCTTGGTGACACAGCAAAGTGGCGACAGAGGGCAGAGGGCAATGTGAAAGCGGCGCGACAAAGGCAGCAATTGGTGGCATCAGGCGCCGCGACGACGGCAGCAGTGCAATGGCGAGCTCTCTCCTATCTATTGGGTGAGACAGCAGAGAGGCGACAGCAGGCGACACGATGACAGAGGTAGCGCGAAAGCGAGCTCTCTCTTATCTATTGGGTGACATAGCGGAGAGGTGCCAACATGCAACATGACGACAGAGCAGCACCATGGTGAGCTCTCTTCTATCTGCTGGGTGACACAGGAAGCTCTCACCTACCTATTGAGTGGCACAGCAAAGCTCTCTCGTATTTGAACACATCAAATTTACATTTTTTATTTAAACTCAAATAATATAAATCAGCTTTAAACTTCGAGTTGTTTCAGTCGATCTTCAGGGATGATTGTCAAACTAATAGCAAATTTTGTTCTCAAATGCTTATAAATCAAAAAGGTGCAAAAAAAATTATAGAAACTGATTTTTCTTAATATCTAATCATTGCTGCCGCATCTTCACTAGTAGGAAGGCAGCAGGGACAAAGTGCATGGAGAAGGGGAGAAGTACAAAGAGAAGTGAAAGTCAATCTTGGAAACTGGAGAAGAAATAGGGAAAATTAAACCAGCTTCATCATGTCACGCACACTATGGAGATGAATCAAGAAGTGATTTGATCAGGAAAAAGGTAAATTGAAGTAGTAAAGTGCTGAAATATAATACACTCTCAATCCCCGTGTCTCTCAAAGATTTAGAGAGGAAGAACGCGTGCTCAATTAGATTGCAGAAAGCAGTAAAGAAAAAAGTTAAAATCCTAATCTACAGCATTCACGTCCTCCTTCACTTGTCACCGAGAGAGAGCCTGAATGCCTTATGAGAGAGTTCAGGCCACTGCCGCCTTTAGATCGTGGGGGATGCGCTCAGGCCACTGTAGCTAGCGCCGTTGTCGCCATGCTCACCTTCACTTGTCACTCAGAAGGAGAGCATGTCATTGTCGTCACCACCCCTATGAATGCTGCAGCCACCATCGTTACCGTCGTGCTCGGCTCCTCCTCTGCCTATCACGCAAGAGGGGAGTTGGTACGTGTGAACAGAACTCCAATTAATGAGCCAGACAGTGAGAGGGAAGAAAGTAATAGATGTCGGGCGAGAGAAAGAAAGAGACTAAATTACATATTACATAGCAGTTATCACCACAGTAGCCACTGATGAAAGGATGACACTGCACCGCCTCGCCTTGCTCGAGACTCAAAGAGGAGAGTATATCGGCTCCCAAACAAGGGAACTTAAAATGAATAGTACTCGATGGAAGAGAGAGAGACTGACAAGAGAAGAGAGAGAGCACAATGACGAATAGAAGAGAGAAGAAGGAAAATTATCGTTTGGAAGAATGATAATCCAACAGTGATAAAAAACTGAAACTCTTCGAGTGGCCCTCTCACTCCTGAATAACTCCTGCCTCAACTGCGGTTCGATCATCAATAAGTAATGAGAAGAAGGAGCTGTTATTCCTCTACCTTCGCACGATCTCCCACGTAAGCCTTGAGGTAGTTGCTGGCAAGAGGGAATCGTGGCAAGAGACGGGGTCGTTGGAAGGACCTCTTCTTACCTGGAACGTGGCCGAAAGGCGGCGGCCCACCAAGAGCTCACAGCCGCTGTCACCGTCCGCCGCTATGAACACTGGAAGCACCACCGTCGCCGTCATGCTCAGCTCCTCCTATGGCTGTCACGCAAGAGGGGAGTTGGCAACCGCCATTGCCCTCCACCGCTGCTGCTGCACCGTCGTCGTTCATCGCTGCCGTGAACATCGCGGCCATTGTCGCCACCATTTCCACCTGTCTCTTGTTGAGGGGGCCAGCCGGTGCTCCTGTGCCCTAGCTCTCGAGGTCCGCCCCAAATCATAATGGGCAAGGTATTGGGCCTCACTTTCTTGGCCGAATATCTCCTAGAGAAACAATGTAAATTCATCATACAGATGTCCCAACAAAAACAGATGATTGAATAGCTATTGCAGTGATTTGCACTTCAAGGAGAATAACCAATATATCAGAACATAAGAAAAGAGGTAGGTCAACTTCTAAGTCAATCAATAGCTAATCCTAGGCATCATCCACTTGGATTTCCTCTCCAAAAATTTAATGTAGCTAGAGCTAGTTCTTAAATGCCTTATCAAGGACCACAATTTGAAAATGCAAAAGCCATATCCAACCTTAGGAGTCAAAGAGTTCTTAATGACCAATATAGAAACCAGCAACATAAAAAATCTTTTGAACTAGGGTATGAGGAACATTGTGTAAGTAACTTAAGTAAAAATGATAAAAATAACCAGGAACTAATAGAAGAAAATTTTCATAGAGAGGAAGAAGTAATAGTGAAGAAGATGGGGGTTGGAAGTAAACAAAAAGAAAAACATGATGTGAACCTTGAAAATTATACACTCTTACTCTTTTTCCCATGGCATTAAAGCCTAGACTTAAAAAGAAGATAGTGTAAAATGATGATCTAATTGAGTTGTTTAAGAAATCTCATATTAATATTCAATTAGTACACAATAAGGCATATACCTAGTTATGCAAAAAAAAATTAAACAAGTATACATACAATGAAGAGAGCAGGAAAAAAGAAGAAGATTATCAACAAAAATTAGTACAATCCTTTTAGATTTACTTTGCAAGAAACATAAGGATCTAAGAGCCCCTTTAATTTCATCCAATATAAGAGGTGTTACTTTTCATAATACATTATTAAACTTAGGAGCTAGTGTCAACTTCCTATCTACATTAATTTATGAATATTTTGACATGGGAGAGTTGAAACCAACATAATAGACTTTCAACTTGCAGATAGGCCAGTCAAGACACATAAAGGAATACCAGAACATATGATGATTAAGGTCAAAAAGTGTTATTTTTTAGTAGACTTCTTAATTTTGGATACAAATGAATCTCAAGTGTTGAGCCAAACTCTTATCATCCTAGGACGTCTAAATATTAATTTTGAAATAGGTTGCAAGAACATATCTTTTAGGGGTGAAGTTTCATTGGATATTTATAAAGAATCCAAATATCCAAAGGATGATGAAGAGAAATGTTACACTATAGATATGGTGGACAACTTTATAGGGATTGAAGATGATCATGTAGGAGAAGTATTAATCGTAAACAAAGAACCTAGTCACCAACACTTAGAATTTCTACCTATTTCATCACCTACAGCTAGTGTTGAACTTAAACCCCCAACTAGACAGCCTTAAGTATGCATTTTTAGGGCCAAATCCAACCTTTTTAGTCATCACTGCAGCAAATCTACTAAGAGTGTTAATTACATCTAGAGGACGAATACGTTGAAGTATAGGTGATCTTAGAAGCATAAGTCCAAATATTTGTATGCATAACATCCACATTGAAAAAAATATAACAAGATGTAGAGAAAATTAAATCTCAATAAGTAGTTAAAGATGAAATCATTAAATCATTAGACACAAGCATAATATATTTTATATTTTATAGCCAATGGATTTTTGACAAGACCTAACCATTGCAAATTAAATCACACAAATTTAAAATCTATTAAACAAGGAAAATACTAATTTTTAGATTTCAAAATTATATTTATTAAAAATGCATCAATTTTAAATCGATAAAGAGCTCCAAAAATAACATAAAATTTTCAAATTGATCATATGGATGTATTATAATATTTTAAAAAAATCAATTTTATTCAAAAAATATGATTTTTAAACTAAATGATTATAAGAAAATCCTTTTTAAAATTAGAGAAAAGGAAAATTCTAATGTTGACATCAAAAAGATTTCAACATCTGCTAGAACAATGATTTGGGTGAGAATAGAGTTCTACCTGATGATTATTGTGAAAGTAATTTTTGAAGATTTAATTGAAGAAATCAAGATTTGTAAAAACCAAATAAATCATAATAGATTAAAGATGATGTTCGAAAATTCAAGCAAAACTATCATTATTTAAAAACTAAATAAATCTAAATAAGAAAAATAAAGTTTTGGTGTTGCGATAGTGATTGTAGTAAATCTATTTAGCAAGTGTTCGAGGAGTGTTTATGGCCTCAAAATTTCTCATTGGACACGAATGGTATGAGCATTTTTTGGATTCTTATGTGAAATCCAAAGAGCAAAGTAAGGTGGTATGTAGTGAAGTGTCTTTAGCAACTATCACCTGATAGAGCAAAAATTGACGAAATTAATTATTTGATAGCTATTGCCTTGTGGAGTTAAGATTGATAGAAGTGGAGCACATCTCAAGAAACTTCTTTCTCAAGTCCATATAGTACAAAGAGGCTCTTATTGCAAGTGAGACACTTTGAAGAGAACTTGACAAATCTCTTAGTGAATCTTTCTGCCCCCAACAATGACTTATGTATCAACCAATAGGGAATGAGATTTCCTCTAAGAACTCTTTCAAAATCCTTAGTCAAATACAACCAAAAATCCTTATTTTTCATTAATAAAGATTCCATTGATGATCAAATGTTTCTCTTAGTTTTTATATTTATCATTTTCCTAGAGAAAAACCATGGTGTCAAAATAGAGAAACATAATATTTTGGTGTTAGTGCTCTTTAAACCTCTATCGGTCACTTGGCTGCTTAAATCAAGTGAAATAATTTCTTATTATAACTTTGAAATAGTTAAAACACAGATGTGTTATCTTCTCTTTATGTAAGGGTATTTTTAATATTATTTCAGCCAACAAGAGTTGCTGGTGGTTTAGTCTCACATTGATTGTTTTAGAAGTTTTTAAATTTATATAACTTTTCGACTATCGTATGTATTCAATGACTTCTCCCATAAACAAAATGGTTAGAACCACATGGGGAGAAGAGATACTAGGTAGTCTGCTTGCCCCCACACAACACATGTGATGAGATCATACCTATCTCACGTACTGATTCCCCCCCCCCTCCCCCCATGATGTGTAAGAGGAGTGACACACACATACCCTACATGGGTCTTTGAGCCTAGCTTATGGTTCCTCCTGCTGAGTTACCCACTCAAGTAGTTCTTGAGTGCTGAGTGTTAGTTGGCTAGTGTGTTCCCCCCTTTTGTTAATATTTTTTACGTATTTTTTTAATTCATTTTAACTTAAAATATAAATATAAATATAAAAATCATATAAATTTACATAATTAACCACACAGTAACATTAGCCATGTTAAAATATTTTTTTATCAATTAAGATAAATAGGAAGTTACTAACACAACACATATTATTAAACTAACCATTAACTTATGAAAATAGAGATTTATCAATTTGTCCTAGTGGTGTCTAAGAAAGGTTGCCTTACTATAATCAGAAATGAAAATCAAGAGGAAATAAAATTAGACTACCCCATCAAATGACGAGTTTGTATCATTTATAGTTGTGACTAAGAAGTACCATTTTACTCTACCTTTTATTGATGACATTTTAAAAAAGATTAGTACAATTTAATTTATCTCATCCTATACTTTGTCACACCATTTTTACATGCATTTTTATGCACATATAATGTGGTTTACCGTACCATGTCGACCGGCACTTCGACTGTTGCCATGTGTGCCAACGTGACGTGGTTTCTTTAGATTTGTCTCATACTCAGCACCTTGTCCTTCTATGTGGCGAGTATCAAACCTATCGCACGTGTTCCACTGTTCACACAGCTTCTCATGGTCAGCGCCCTTTTTTCTCTATGCCCGTTCTCTCTTGTCTGTAGTTAACCAGGTTTGTCCGTTAGCTCTCTTTTATGTAGTTAACCAGGGTTAGCTCCGTTTGTCGGGTCTACGAGTAATCTTGCGTGGTCTCTCCCGGCTGTCAGTTGGCCTGTTAGGATCGGACAGACGATTCCCAATTGTTGGGTTAGCTCCACCATGTTTCTTTCCATAGAAGACGACATGGTCCTCATTGGGGCATATTTTATTCCATGCGTCTCTATTGGTTGACTTTCCTGCGGGGGATCTCCCATCAGATTTTATCGCTCGTCCACATGAAACAGCTCCGATCAACTCAATCGATGTTCGTGATCAAACACTGATCCTCCCATTCAAATTCAAACGGAGGAGACGGGGGGTGGTGGTCTCTTTGATCTCCGCTGGTTCGCTGGCGGCTGGACGCCTGTTGGGTCTTTGGTTACCACACTGGAGACGACAGTCGTGGGAGTAGAAATAGGCTAATCAGGGGCAGGGGGGGGACGCCCTTTTTAATGGAGCATTTGAGTCAAAGCTGGGAAAGTTTTCGGCGCGGCGCCAGATCGGAGTCACTTCACTTCCCCTGAAAGGGAGACCACAACCAATGAGAGAGAGAATGAGAGAGTTAAGGAGAGTGTAGCTTTTGATCTGCATTTTTATCCAACCTGGGAATCAGCATTTGCTGATAATTGGTTATACAATGGTGGTCCTTGCGAAATAATCGTTTTACACTTGTTACTTGGTGTAAGTAATATTCTAAATAGGTCGTGAGTGGGAACTTAGTTTCCGTTTGGGTATTCGTCCTTCGATTAATAAGTATTTGAATATGCGCTGGTCCATTGGAGACCTGCACTACTATGAATTCTCTTGTATAGAGAATCTGATGAAGCCCTCCAACCACCATAGACCCGTTCTCACCACAACCGCCCACGACTTCACCCGCACGACCCTAGTACTCACCGGAAGCTTCGCAACATCAGGACGCACCAACTGCACGAACGCCACTTCTTCCACCGATGCAGCAGGCTCCAGCAAATCACGTTCCAGCATTATTTAAACACCTACCGCGAGGAGGAGAAGACAGGAGTAGTCGTGGAGTCTCACTCGCTCTTAGGGTACTTGAGAGTCTGACCCGCTCCAATGGTCATTATCGTCTTCCATCTCTCTCCCTCACGTCGTCTCACTCTTTCCTACCTTCGGCTGTGGGCCCCCCACGCCGAAGTAGGCATAGCGGTTGCGGCGGCCCAGGTAGTTCGGGTTGATCACGCCGAAGTCGAGGTTCCCTGCGGAAAGCGGGGTCCGGGATACAGCCCCGCTCTTGAGCTCGATCCTTACCATCTCCACGCAGCAGCGGATGAGCTCCATCCTGTCTAGGGTGTGCTCCACGGACAGCACATTGGGTGCCACCGGTACCACGGTGGCGCCGCCGTCCTCCTCCCACGCGTTTACGGTGTGCACCGGATTAAATCCGGGCACGTCGAACCACATGATATCACTATCAGATGCCGCGTACCGCGGTAGTATACCAACCCTGGGTACCTTCCCGGTATCGGTACAGAAAGGAAAGCCACTCCCGAGCACCATCTGCAACGGCTGCATTACGATCTGCATGTCGCAGAGGACGGCGTAGTTCTCGGTGATGGCGAAGTCGTGGAGGAAGGAGGGACACCAGACGGAGAAGATGGGCACGTCCGGTTGCTTCTTTCCATCGGCGTCGAAGCGGAAGTACGTGACGACGGGAGGCACCGGGCCGCACCGGAACGCGAAAACCTCCCCGGTGATTGGATCCTTCTTGGGATGGGCCATCATGCCCATGGAGAGTTTGCCCCCAAAGTCCCACCTGCCGAGGGTGATCAGGTCCCCGGATGTGGAGAGGTGAATGGCGTAGGGGAGATCCGGCTCTCCGAGGGCGAAGAGTCGACCGCCGAAGTAGGCGAGGCTGGTGTTTGCGAGGCTGACGGCTGCGAAGAGCTCCATCTGTCCTGTGATGACGCGGGCGACGACCGCGGCGCGACGAACGAGGCCATCTACGCCGTGCATACCCGAGAATATCTTTGGGAGTGGCTTTCATGTACTTTCATGTACTTGCCGGCCTCTCGCTCCACCAGGTACTTGCATGTCTGTACGTAACGACTGCACAAGGCAGTCGGGGCAGTGCCGTCGCCACCTGCAGGGAGGAGGAGAGAGTGAAGCATGCCGTCACCGTCGGAGATGTGGTGCGTCTCCGTAGGGAGGTGCTGGGGGTTCGGGCCATTGCGGACGTAGGCACCACCGCGGAGGGCGCGGGGGATTCTTCCCTTGACGACGGGGCACGGCGTCGGGAGCAACTCGCCGACTAACAGTGACGTCGCAGCGACGTCTCGGCACATTAAGGACGCCATCGGGGCAACTTTTCCTTGGTTCCACATGTGATGAGAGAAAATGAGAACGAGAGAGTTGAGGGGTTCCTGGGCCGGCGGGCCGAGGTATGGGACGCTGAAAGTTGAGAATATATGTCTTATAACCGTACTGTGGTCCACGGTGTTTTCCCCCGTGAAAATGAAGTCACATTTGTTGCAAGGGGAAAGGAATGTATCAGACCCCCACAAACACCAATTATTGGCGTGATTAGCCCGGCCTGGAGCTAAGCGAGCCCGCAACAAAAAATCCGGAAAAAAGATGATTTTGCTCCAGTCCTTTTTAAATCACTCTTAGATTTCATGTTTTCTATCCAAGTCATGTTCAATTTTTCATTGGTTATTCCCATTTGGCTTACTCACACTCTCCTGAGTTCTTCACATATGTTTAAACAAAATCAAGTGCTCTAAATAGCCTCTATTAAGTTTCACAGCTCTAGTCAACACAGGTTTTTTTAGAAACACCTTCCAAATTCATCACTCTAGGAGGCCAACTAGATAAATACTAGAATTATTATGACTGTAGGTTGATTTAAGTCGTACAAGTACTCAATAACAAGTCAAGAATAATAAAATTATCTTAAAATTTAACTTCTAGCTTATAGTTACATAGGTTGGGACCAAGATCTTGATATGGTGTTTTTTGCAACATGATGACCAAGTTATGAGGCCTTTCTTAGAATGTCACAAGTACCCTTTAGTGAGTCATAATGTCGTGGTGAGAGTAGATGTCATGATAGTAGTCGTGCCAAGTAATGCACACCACTTGGCAAAATCAATTTTCAAGTTAGATGTTGCAGTCTTAAATGTCCAGACCACTTCAACTTTGATTTATTTGAAGGTTTTGAAATTTAGATACTACGTGGTTCCCATCTCCCAACATGTTAGGGAAAAAATCTCCCATATGATAGATCATTTGCTACTAAACTTAATTCTACTGCCCATTTGATAGCCTTGTCATTGCTTAGGACATTCTACCCCAGCTCATCAACAAGCCAATTAATTGGATACCCTTTTTTATTACCTCTCATTGTTGGATTTCAAACTACATTCTTTTTTGTCAACGACTGCAGCAAATACATGGCATTTACTTCTATAATGTAAATATGAGATCTTTCTACAAGGCAAACACAAGGCATATCTTTCTACAGCTTTGACATCGTGTTGAAGGTTTCTTTACTTGTTTTATTTTTAGCCTACAATCTAATGGGGGTGATGAATAATAAACTCAATCTCCACTAGGTACTTTTATCTCTTGACTGTAACAATAAATGTATATTGTTTGATGATGATAAATAATTATGAAATCAGTTAAAAGATTCAATTATGCCTAATTTTGGAAATATTTGATTAGAGGCTAAACATCAAAGTGCATGAATAGAATTATATTAAATATTTAGATGAGAGTAAACTAAATATATCTTAATGACCCACAATGTTAAACTTATTTATTTAAGTAATTTTATCATATATAATTATTTTTCTATCACTATGAAAATTTAACTTTCACAATGAGAAAAGAAGGGATTTGACCATTTAATACATTGGAGATTATCTGAAGTCTTTGTAATTAGCAATTGCACTAATAGGTGCTAGTGGAACCTCAAAATCTAGTTAATAAAGAGTGAAGTAGACTAGGTGGTCCAGTCCACATTAAATCAAGGTTTAAAAAATTATAAGAAAGTAGAATTCAGTTAGAATTTAGAAAACGAATAATTAACTTTGCCTTTTCGTCATCTCATAGCCTCTTTTAGAAAAATATATAGAATATAAAATAATCATGCTCATGATTGATGAAGAGCTACCACAACATTAGACATACTATATGTAACAAGAACCTAAGAAAAAAATCCACTTTCTATAAAAAATATTCAAATATTTTTAATGATTCAAATGGATCCTCTCTAAGAGCTTTTGCACAAAAAATGTGAAAATATTTATTTTTAATTTCTTACATTTTCAGCACCTGTAATACTCAAGTTGACTTAGAGCTATGAACAAAGAAGATATTAGTTCATCATTAATATGATTGGCCTACTAGTGTTGTGAACCTTTGTGTTCGAAGTAAATGTGGGCTAAGTAGAGCCACAAAATACACTGGAGTTTATCTGAAGTTTTTGTGAGTAGCAATTGCACTAATAGGTGGTAGTGGAACCTAAAAATCTAGTTACTAAAGAGTGAAGTAGACTGGGCGGGCCAATCCACATTAAATCAAGGTTTCAATAATTATAAGAAAGTAGAATTCAGTTAGAAGTTGGAAAATGAATAATTTAACTCCTTTCACTGAATTTGTAATGAGACGGGTAATGTGGATAGACACCTGTTAGATGATCATGATTGGATGTTTGTGAGCCTTGTCAGGATTGACTGTAGACGGATATGGACTTTTTCGTTCTTCGCAGTTACGATCTGGCGGCGACAGGGCGTGTGGATGGGTTATCCTCCTCGTCTTCTCTTCTCCTCCTTTGTGCAGGTTTGATCTGGGCATCGGTGGCGTGTGGATAAGTCGTGGAGCTCTGCTTTTCCTTCGTCCTGTCGCGGCCTCCTCCATACGCGAGAGGAAAATAGGATATGTGGGAGGGAATGGGTCGTCACAGGTTGCTCTTCTCTGGGTTTCAGCTATCCGACTACTATCAAATCAAACCGGATAAAGAAAATCTTCTTCTTATTTCATCATTTATCGGCCAATGCTGAGGTACATCTGTTTAAGCAGCAACTTACTTAAAGGGAAAACTTGATGAGACTAATAATGGAGGAAAGTAGAGGAGTGCCTAACGAAAAAGGGTAACTCCAAATTTTATCAGAAGCTTCAATTGATCGTGAGGTGGCGGGGGATTAGAAAAAGATACGAACTGAATAAGAGAAATTGGAGACTGGGCAAGCAATATATGCCGAGCATAAAACATAAGCTGTGGACAAGAATGTGAGTCGTTTATGGTCGATTCCCAGTGCATGGCTCCGGAGGAAACCTGCAGACGCGTATCATCATCTACAAAGGAACATGCTCCCCATGGCAAAAGAGACCATACTTGGGATATTGTTCTACTCGATAAGAAGGGGGTTTCTCGCAAGACCCCACAGCCATAACAAAGTCTGAATCCGTCCGATTTCTAAAACCGATTACTGGTCCTTCACATTTGGAGGAATCCCTCAACAGTGGTTGTGAATGATTGCATCCGATTTGAAGGGCTTCAGCTGCTGCTCCTGCCGCTGCCATTCCCCCTGATCCCAACAGAAGCCCAGGCCAGACGATGCCAGGAGGAACTTCGACAGGCCATGCTACCAGGTGTCTGGGAGGAGATAAAGGCGCATTTTCCAGGGAATTATAGGGGTGAACTCCAGAAAAGTTCAGGGGTAGACCACAGGAACTGAGCAGATAGCAGCCCCAGGGACTCTTCAATGGAAGAAGAGGTTCAAGAGTCTCGGTCCACATGTGAGATGGCCGTGGCTGCCTGTCCCTCCTTGAAGCGAGCCCATGTCACCAGGTTTAAGCCGATCACGATGAGGCATCCACCTGTGATGCTGCTTAGGAGAAAGCAACAGTAAGAAGAGAGAGAAGAGGGAAAAGGAATTGCCAGATAAATTTTCATCAGCAGATATTACATCCTGCGTGTACAGGATGATGAGACATTTCAGCAAGCAAGCCCAATGGCTAAAATCCCGAAAGAAATAATATTTTTCCCATATGACGTAACACGAGACGAGAAACGAATCACTGATGAGATTCCCCCTCTATTATCATTTTATACGCTCAAATTTGTGTGATCCTCCATGACTGTATGGTGTTAGACTAAAACACTATTCCAAAGCCAGACGGTGAGAAAATTCTAAGATGAGCTAAATAAAAAGAAGTATCTTCAGCAATTGGAGGAGATTCTCCACTTTTGGAGCTGATGTCGATATCTTTGGGGAGTTGAAAACTCAAAGGATCTGACCATATCATGAACTCACAAAATTTATCTAGAAGGATGGAGGGCACATCATATACACTCTGAACCCAAACCACGGACTTTCCCTGGCACTCTTTTTCAAAGCTAACCGAAAACAGCCGACCTGATCTCTCTTCTAACTTTCACCCAATACAATTCATCCTCTTCTTTTATGCTTTTTTTTTTTAATTCTTATTCCCCTCATTGTCTCCATCATTCTGTCCTCTGTGACCCTAGCTGTAATAGCAAATTATCCTCAATGATAAATGGCAATGCATACATGCTCACTACGTTCTTATGTTACCACTAAACGGAGTACGCATTCCTTTTTAAACAACGGAGCCTGCTATGTCCTGAGTTTGGAAGAGATTGGAAGGTAATAAGAAGATATGGTTCCAATCACAGGAACTGGAAACAAAACGATGGTTGGAAGGGCATCTGGGTTAAGAACCATGAATTAGAGACATTGATGTAACAGTTATAAGGAATGGAGCTGGTTCTCACACCCCTCATTCATGTTCCAGGAACAATTTGGTTACTTTAAGTCCGTTTGACGTCCACAAAACTAGGGTTTTAAACATGCCTAGCAGGATCTTAGAGCTGATAGGAAAATCCAAGGTCCATCACAGTGGAAGAACTGGGTATATGATTCTGAGGAATGAAATATGATCTTTCTCCAAAGTTAAGTGGAAAGCAACAGAATTGGAAGGAAAAAACCCGACAAAAGAACATCATCACTGAGTTAAAGGTTGGTGGAAACCAAAACAGAATTGGAAGGGAAAAAACCCAGGAAAGCAGCATCATCATTGAGTTAAAGGTTTGTGCCGAACCTTCCCAAATAAATAGGGCTCCCCAGGAAAACCATCGATAAAATGGCAGATGCCACTGGTTGAAGTGGCATATATAAAGAAACCAGCGCTGGTCCCAAAATTTTATTGGACCATGTCATCAATCCATAGTTTAGAGCAGAGGCAATAACCCCCTGCAAAGGTAAATGAAAGACTTTAATTCCACCACGTAGAGAAGGAACTTTTTAATATACACAACAGGGCAGCATTTATCATAAGAAGAAAATTACTATTCCAATTAATTTCTGACTATTTGGGAACTTTCTGTATAGAGACACCTCTGGCTTAGAGGTAACCTAGAGATAAATATGATATTGATCGATGAATCTTTCAAAGAAAAGGATACATTTGGAAGATAAATAAGATGTTACAGCATAACAGCGAGAAACTCACAGCATACACGATTGCGATAATTTCAGTCTGTGTCAAGGTCCAATCCGCCAGAGAAGTTGTCGAGAACAATCCAGTTAACAACATCAAAAGTCCACCGAAAAAGTATGAATATGTGGTCAAAGATATGCTGGCAGGATACATCACCAGAAGTGGCGCCTGAAATTATTGAGAAAGTTTTATGATCCAAACTAAATGCAAAGATATAATCAACATGATGAGCCATATAGGCATAAGTTCATGTATCAAATAAGGTATCTTCTTTTACACAAAAATAAACTTTCTAGAGAAAAGTTACTGATGTAAAAAATCAACCATTATTTAAAATTTTTGATACACCATTATAATAAACATTGAAAAAGTAGTAAAAACCATGCAGCAAGGTGGATGCATATTGAGTCTTTGTTTTGGAAGTTGAAGTTCACATTGAGGTCCAACATTCTCTTTAACCTCATGTACGAGTGTTATCATATTTTGTGCTGCATGTGGCGTCCAACAAGATGATTGGCAAATTGAATAGTAATGGCCTCTCTGAGCTCCACATAATGAAATTCCATTAAGTTCAGGTATTCACACAAAATATTGAACTAAAAGTGTAAAAACGTTATCTGTGACATAAACACAAATAGCTATTTTTTTGTTACACGACTAATTTAGACCCACCTGGTTCATACAGCTAAGATCCATGAGAACACATACAAGTGGAGATGATATGAGCATTGTATTCCGTAACAATAATTGTCAAACTCCGTTACAAATATAAACAATTCTTCATCTAGTTACCTGTAAAGCTAGATAAGTTGCCATGCACATACAGTTTCCTATCAAACATAAGACACCAATGTGCCACTGTTCGAAACCAAGAGTGATCAAATGAGTGGTCAGCCAACCAACTGGCTCCGGCTGAGGCATTGCACTTATCTCACTTTGAACAGCCAGCTCAAAAGAGTTGTCCCCAATTACAGCCGGGCCTCTGTATAGAACCATTATTATGGCTCCAAAGATACAAATCACAGAGCCTCCCACCTTTACCTGACCTTCAATTTTGAGCAGATTGACTGATTCGTTGCTGCATGCAGCAAATTCATGGGTTACTTGAAGCCCAGAAAAAAAACTCTACAGGAGATTTACACATGATGGTTTCGAATGAAAAGAATATACCCCATTGCTAATGCTAGAAGAAATGTGAAAACTGGTATTGCAGGTTGAATAGCTGCTGCATATGATGGGTTCGTATAGCTAAGACCAAGAAGAAATAATAGCTGGTTGCCAAAAATCCTGTTGAAAGGTTTTAGCAAGAAGTTTTCATTCTGAAATGTATTTACAGCGCAGAATAAACAGGGAATAACATCAGAACGCTTAAACGAGTTATATCAGAAATACTGACCCAGTTAACCCAAGAAAAAAAAAGGATATGAACAGGCGTCGAGTAAGTGGAAGGTGAGCCCTTCTGCAAAGCGCCAAGGAAAAGAAACACATTACATTCTAACAAAGTTATCCCTGTACTAACCACTGAGAGACTCTTATGAAACAGCAGCATTCAACTAGTAAAAACTGATAAAAGAGCTATTCAGAAGACATTTATCCCTTCTTACAGGTTATCTGCATGAAGAGATATCAGACGTACTAGAAGCAGCAAAATCCCTCGGAAAAGCGAATATTTGGCAAACAAGACCAATCTTCTACAGGGCTATTACATGCATTATTTTAGCAGATCACAAGCTTCGGCAAAAAAGTGGCAACATGCTGTGTTGTAGCAGATTGAAAGGGAACCCACTACTCATGTTTATGTGCGTGTCTGCTTTCTCACCTCCACATGGTGATAGGGGCCCAAACTAAAATTTACCCATTAAGCAAAACCCTTTAATAATCTCTTCCAGAGGATTATCGTGATTGGACCGTTGCATACTCTAACAATATCAATGATTCCCGACGACATGCAAATGATATCAAAGAAATTTATCTAAGAGATGAAATTTTCATAGATGCACTGACATAGAAGCAATGGAACGAAAAAAGTACGAAATATTACACAATAAGGCAGTGGAATTGACAAATAATCCAGTTCTGTCCTTGAAAAGATAATCTGGCAGGCAAGTGTCTTTAATTCAGCTTTTCACACAAACAGCATGTACATTCTGAATTTTAAAACATCAAAGGGAACACTGAAGACTCGCCATATTTGGGCTGGGACCTCATGTTCCCTGGCAAAAAGGATGTGCGTTTTGCGTTAGGCTCTCATGTGGAAATGGAATTGGGTCGTCCTATTTCTGGCAATGAAATTACGTGTTTTCGGTGTTGATCACAGGACAACCAAGAACGACAGGAAAACGAGAAGGGCACAATTAACAAGAACTTCTTACGTTTACCAATCAGATGAATCCAAGAATATTCAAGGATACGGTCCAGTACGAAAGAATATTGCCATCTTTGGTGCGTTCACCGCTGCCACAAGTAGCAGTGCTGCAGATTCTCCAACGACCAAGCACAACCTAAAGACGGCGCCCTAAGAATAGAATGGCCGTGGATTCTTTCATTTTTAATTTCTGAAGTGTTAGATCAGCGGGGATCTACACTATCGGCTTCCAATCAAAGTCCTATTGATCACAGGCATAAGATTTGGATTCATCGTCTTCAATCATTTATCAAGATGCAATGATCAGAAATAAATTGGAGAAAAAGGTTCCGTTCGAGTAACAAAACACCCAATAGACAGTGTAATTTCGTCCAGAAAAGAAAACCAAAACTGGAACCAGCACGGTTGCGGTCCGCTAGTCACTCAAAAATCAGGAGAAGCAAAGATTCTAGGCTCGAGAACAATGAATTGCGGTGACGTAAATAGAGGGGAGGGACCAGATCTGTTCAAAGCTTTCCCGATTGCCGGAACAGCCGACGGACTAATAAAATCACAGAGCAGAGCAAAGTAGAAAGGGTTCGGCGTTTCCGAGGGCCGTACAGACGCTTCTCACGGAAGTAGGCGACGGGAGCGAGGATGGAGATGGCGAGGAGGTCCCGGACGACGCAGAACACAACCTGGTTGACCCCAACATTGAGGGCCACCTTGGTGATGACGTGGTACCCGCCGTTGATCAGCTGAACCGCCGCCATCGCCCCATGAGCTCGCCCCGGCGCACTTCCCCATCCCCCACCGCTTCCGCAGCCCAGCGAGCCCATTGACGCCGCCGGCCGCCGGTCCGCCGCCCAGATTCAGCACCCCGCCCGACCGCGCATCCTCCGCCCCGCTCCCTTCGCTTCCCTCCAGCCTTTGACCTCCCCTCGTCCTTCCTCAATAGCAAAGCAGCGGCAGGGCCGGGGCGAGGAGGTGGATCTCACAACAGGAGGACGACGGTGATTCTTTTCTCCTTTTTTTTTTAAATAAACAAAAAAATAAGTCGCATATTATTTAAAATTGACGAACGGGCTGTGGGCCAGGCCCGAAATGTACCCAACCCATTATATATATATATATATCATTACCAGGCTTGACTCCCCCAAACAGCAAAGCAGCGGCACTCACAGTGCTCTAGGTTTGGGAAAGAAAAAATAAATAAAAATCCACAGCATATTATTTAAAATTCATCAATGGGCTGTGGGCAGGGCCCGAAGTGTACCCAAGTCGTATACATCATCAGTAGGGCCGGGCCCGGCCTGGCAGGTCGAGCCGCCTTCTACAAAGCACGTCTGCCGCATAGAAAAGGTATTTGATTGATCCGTCGTCCATCCCATCAGCGCGGGGAAGGAAGGGAAGGGGTGGTGGCCGGGGAGTGCTAACGGCGAGGATGGAGGACGACGGAGAGCCCGGGGGACCGCGGCTGAGCAAGAGGTTCGCCGGCGGGAAGCTAGGCGGCGGAGAGGTGGACTACAAGACCAAGGCGGGAACGGCATGGAGCCACTCCTACCTGAATCAGAAGCCCTGGCATCCCCTCTCCTACCCGAATCAGCGGCGCAAGTGGATCGCCGAGCAGAGTCATGCTCAGCGCGAGCGCCACGCCGAGGAGGTCTCTCAAGAGGTGTGCTAGGAAGCCTGGCCGGCGGTTTTCTTTTCTCTTCTTTCATTTCCTTTTCTTTTTTGAATGCGTTCTTCTTCTTCTCTTCCCGGATTCCTGATCGGTCAACTTTCCCCTGGTTTGCAGTTCGCTCAGGAGCAGGAATTCTTCCGGCAGACTGCCCTTCTCTCTGAGAAGGAGAAGGAGAAGGTGAGAAAGGGGGGCGGGCGATCAATGTCCTCGTCAGAGTTTGGTTTTTCACTTCCAAATTAGTTTAACCTATGAGAGAGGCCTTTATCCGCGAAATGAAAGGCAAAATTCTCGGCGGGGAGGACATCAAATATAAGAGAGAAAACCATCAAACATGAAATGGGGGTAACGGAATGGGGATTACATTTCTCCTGGGAGTCTTACGTGGTCATATCTTACCGATGGCATTTTTTATAAATAGCCTTTGATTTGAACGCTTGATTACAGATGGAAGATGGGAGATGTGAGGGGGCAATTGGTTTATCAAAACATATTCCATGGAGGATGAGATAACTGCTTAAACATTGATGCTTGGGTGGAGATCTTTTTTTTCTTGTTCATTAAATGCCTTCTTGTTTGCTTGGACGGCCAAGTTTTGCGAACTCAGGAAAGGACATTGGAGAATACCAAAACTGGTGCCATTTAAAATATATATATTTATATATGGATGGGGATTTTGACATTGAGTAGTATGTGAGCCATTCATAATCCCCTGAGCGTCCTATCTGATCCCTAATCCAGTTAACAGACAAGTGAGGAATGAAGTTATGGCAGTTCTTCTGTCTTCTCCACGGCATAAGTTATGGTGTTCTTCTGGGCGGTGTCATTCTTCTCTCACTAGTTTACAACGTCCTCATAGGCTACTCCTTCCCACCGTTGAATTCTTGACAAGAATATCATGGATCCACTTCCCCCTACGACTGAATGTGGAACGTAGATGGTTGTGGGTTATTGATCATTTATAAACCCAGTTTTGGAATGAAGATATACTTTTTGATTTAAGTGAAGAAAAACTTATTTTAGTTTTTCGAAGCGAGTGTCATACGTTTTGCATAGATCAGGATGAACCCAGCATAAAAATATGGAAGCCAGTCCTTGTAAGGCCTTATTTTAGCAAGAATACTCCTCGTGGGGTATCTGTTCTGAACACCAAAAATTCTCTCCAAAAAGATCATAATTGAAATTCGCGTTACACTGGATCAATATCTTGGACTTCTGCCAGATACTAAGAGTGGGTCACCGTTGACTTTGCTCTCTTTCTTGTAAATTATTGAGGGGACGTGCCTTCTGTCTTAGACTTGTCCTCATTGATGGTTGATGGGCGTGCCAATTTTTTTCATTGACAATTATCTCTGGATTAGGCAATGACTATTCTCCTCACGGGATGAGGATCAAATTTTTTTGGTCATGTGCAACAGACTTAATCACCATTGTTGCATTTCTATTAGCGTATATATATTGATTATTTTGACAACCATCTGATGCTCTTACTGATATACTCAGATTGAGATGATGAAGGCTGTGAGCTTTATGTACCTACGCCCACCCGGCTACAATGCAGAAAGTGCCAAAGCTGCAGAGATCGCAGATGAACAGAAGAAAGCAGAAGAATCTACTGTTCTTCCCTCCACAGGGTACCACGGCAGTGGCTCCGTTAATCTTCTCTGCTATCAAATAAAGAAATACATTGTTTTTCTTAGTAATTTTCACTGCTATATGCACATTATAAAGACTGTTATTTGGCAGGCCAGAGTCGCCCGCTGCAAACATTTCCTCCGAAGCAGCTAAAAGAAAGGCAAAACCGAGAGATGTCTTTGGTCGCACCTTACCGACAGAAGAAGAATTTGAAGTCTTGAAGAATGCTCCCCGGTATGTACCTGCTGCAGCAGGCCCTCCCTATTATTTACTCCATGGTGTCTATGCAAAGAAATCTCTCTTTCCTCTTTCGTTTGTGTCCTCTCTCTCTGTAGATTTACATAGTAATAATTTTATTTTTCCGAGAGTTACCCTTTATAAACATGATTAAGCTTGCTTATGTTGTTCTTGTGCGATTCATGCCAAAGTGGGCTGGGAAACTTGAATTTCACTCTTAACAATCAAGCGGGTTAAATTAGGAGAAAATTCCTCCTCCGTATCAAAAATGTAATCTTTAATGCTGTGATTGTCTTATGAGTGGCCCAACCGACCGGTAGGCCTGTCCCCAAGAAAGCCATCTTTTTGGAATCCTCCAACTACCGGTGCTTGTATGTGAGGCGACTAGCGGTCTTCTGGCTGGCCTTGATTCAGGCTCGAGACTGGCGTGGTGGGGCGTGTGAAGCCCTTCGCGGTTGAAATACGCAATGTGAGGTGCATGCGGTGCGGCAAACACGGCCACCAGAGCGGAGATCGCGAATGCCCTTTGAAGGATGCGATCATGCCCAGCGAGGAGAGCCGGTTGAAGAGGGAGGACCCTTTAACGGCTATAATGGCTCAGACTGGTTCAAGCGAGGTTTGCCCTTCATTCTTTCCCTTCTTCATCATTCTTTCCCTTCTTCTTCTTCTTCTTCATTACTGTGTCTGTCCATTCAGGCGCTGAGATGGGAGCTGAAGCAGAAGCCGGGGCTGAGCCCTCCTCGAGGCGGGTTCGATCCCGACGATCCTAATCAGCAGATTGTGGCGGGGGACGACATATTCGATGAATATGGAGGTGAGGAAGGAAGGAATATCTGGGCAGCTTCCCCTCTTCCTCCGGTTAGCTCTCATGGCTTCCTGTTTCTTCTTCCCACCGTCTCAGGGTTTCTGGGTGGCGGCGGCATTCCCGCGCTGCTCGGCAACTTGAACTCGAGAGAGTCGGAGAGGCCTTCCAAGAGGACGCGCAAGCACGGACGGCGCCGGGCGGGGGCCCGCGGGGACCTCCGAGGACGGGCCGCCGTGTCGCCCTCCTCTTCCTCCGACGACGAGGACGACGACGATTCTGGCTCTGGGGCGGGAGGGCAGAGATCCAAGAGGAGGCTGCGGGACAACAGGAGGCGCAAGCACTCCGATTCCAGAGGATCCGAGGGCGACGGCGGCGACCGTCGCCGGAGAAGGCGAAAGCAGACTGAGAGCTCAGGCGGCGGTCGTCGCCGGCGGAGGGACTCGTGTCTCTCCGAGTCTGACGCCGAGGTGGACCGCCGTAAGAAGCCGAAGAAGAGCCGGAGCCGGCAGAAGCCGAAGAGGCGTTGTTCCCCTTCGAGCGGGAGCTCGGACTCGGAGCTCCGTCGCCAGAGCAGGCGGAAATAGAACAGCCGCCGTCGGTCCGTCGCATCATCTGGGTCCTCTGACTGACCCACTCCCTCGCCGGTGCTGCTGTACATTCATTCACTTCCACAGAGCTCACTCGCTGATCGCCTCCCGCCGTCGGACGGCAAGACTGCACAACTTGTTTTCGAGACTATTTAGCAGGCCAGAAGAAGGCCCACATGTGAATCTTTCTCCGCCCCATGAAGCCCATCTCTTCCCACACACACATACCCCCTCCCTCTGCTACCTACGAAACAAACTGTTATCCCCCACGAGAGACAGAAACAGAGAGAGAGAGAGTCCTCGAGGAGAATTCTAATTCTGAAGCGTCTCCGCTGCCCCGCCCCGCCGGGACAGCAGAGCTTCGGTCCTCCCCCTCTGCAGGTGCCACTCCGCCGGCGGGGGGGGGCGTTGGACTTGCAGAACTCCCCGGCGATGGGGTTCGCGGAGTGGGCGTCCGGCCCGACCGCCGCCTCCTCCTCGGCTACGGCGCATCGGACTTGGGAGAAATGGGCGTCCGCTTCTGTAGGCTCGTCTTCCGGTGAGAATCAGATGCGATGATGATGATGGTGTCTTGAAGAGTAGCAATACTAGTAGTAGTAGTAGTAGTCTGACTTCTGTTTTTTCCCTCTCTCTCTCTCTCTCCCTCCATTCTTCTTGCTCTCCATGTTGACCGCGGGACTTCCTTTCGGCAGATCATCCGCTCAAGGCGGCGCTGCTACTCAACTACGACCCCTCTGCGCCTTCCCGCGCGATGCCAATCATGTATGTGTGCTATTATACCTCCGAACGCCCTACGATCCAGATTTTCAATAATTTTACGGCACCTACTTCAGTGTATCCTTTTAGGGTTCATACTGCCCGTGAATGTTTTCTTCTTCCTCAGCGTCTGATCCTGCCCCTGAGGACGCTGGGGAACATTCACAGTGAACGAACGAACGAACGAAACCTAATTTGAGACTGTACCCATTCCCGCTGACCAAAAGTCCCTTCCAGATTGAGGCTTACTCACATACATCCTCTTCTCAACGACTCGATGAATCTGATTAGATCCTCGAGCAGCAAATCTTGAATCCGACGCGCCGTTCGGGGACCGATCGATCTCCTGGGATTCGCCTGATGCTCCGCAAAATACTTGCAACTTCAGATATTTCTTTCGATCGGAGGGAACTCGGCAAAATGGTAGCTAGCTGTGTGCAGAGAACTGTCGAAAGAGATCATCCATAGATAAAATGCGTTTTCAGCACATCGAGGATCGTCGATTGATCTCAGTTGATATATACCTCGGTAGCCTTCGTCCGTCGACCTTGCTCATATTAGGCGGTCAGTGTTAGGTTTTCACGGAATCTGCGTCACATCATGATCTGGTCCAGTGGTGTGGAGAATATACTTCTCTGGATATCATCCCTTCCGGTGGTGATCCAGCTCTTCCACAGGATTCAACATGCTGAGAAAACTTTTTTATTTTGGCTTTTTTTTTCAAAAATCGTCGATCATCTCGGCAGCGCAGAGCAGCAGGGGACGAACCTGACGCCCGCCGACTTATGCGCATTCATGGACTTTGTGAGGAGGAACGATCTTCAGAAGGAGCTGTTCTCCATCGGGCCGAACCAATGTGAGACACCCCCCCAACCCCCCCCCGATCCTCCCTGATTTCTTACTATCTCGATATGATATCTCTTTCTCTCTCTCTCTCTATCCATCCGTTCCCCGCAGTTCTGGTCACCTCGATACACGAGCACTGGTTCTGCGCCAGGTGCGTGAACACCTCGAAGCCCGCCGGCGAGGGCGCCATTGTCATGCAGGCCGCCTCCTTCCTCCTGGTCGCTCTGTGAGACCCGCTCTCTCTCTCCCTGGCGCCATATCCCGCCCCGACCTCCTTTCATCATCGTCATCATCATCATCATCGTCGTCGTCGTCATCATCAAACATATCTATGCATCAATCTATCTAAATTTATGGATTGATGAGATGACTCTGGGAGACGATGGATCGATTCGATCGATCCTGCAGGTACGAAGGCTCTGTGGGGGCAGCGTCCCGCGCGATGGCGGCCGTCGATCGGTTTGTGTCGCCTCTCGGTCGGAGAAACCCTAACTTCTGATCTGCCCTGTTCTTCCTCTGCGAGAAGAAAGACCGAGTGACTCTCCGGCTCACGCATGGCGGCGGCGCCGCTTGGGCCCCGGCGGCGGAGCTCGGTCGGCCAGATGGAGCGGTCCCTGCCGTCCAATAGCTGGCTTCTGATGGTTTTTCTGATCGGCTTACTGTAGGCTGCCTGACAATTAGTGACGCCCAAGAGGCGGGCGTGAAACTTCATAAAATGATTCCGAACACCCCGCCCCCCCTTCCTCATGTTGACTGTTGAGAAGAGAGCCTATTAAATTTCTGTCCCCCCACCCCCTCCCCCCCACTTTGGTACGGGTCCCGGCCCGACGCGGGTGATGGTCTTTCGGGCCCACCAACACGCGGTTCTAAACTTACTGACGGTCTCTGGGCCCGAGGCAAGGCTCTTTTTCTCCCGGGCCAAGCCCGACTTTCACAGGGGCGACTCTCTCTCTCCCCACCCCGCCCCCCCTTTCTTCGTCTCCCCGTCTGGGGCTCGATAGATATCTGCTATCGTGAATAGGTAGCCCGCTTGCCGCCTACCATCTTGTCGATTTATCTCTGCGGCGGTCTCTCGGGTTCCTGGTGGGCGGCCGGGAGGAGGCGCTGAAGGCGGCGTTGCTCCCCAGCGGCAGGTAATTTCTTTGCTTCATCTTCATCGCCGTCGTCGGCTTTCTCGTTTTCGTCTTCCTCCGTCTCGTTCGCCCCCCCTGCGGGGCTAGGTTTGTGAGGTTATCACCTTACGAGGTCGTAGGGGTGAGGGGAAATCGGTAAGATCACTGCGGTCGCTCGTGATTTTCGACGCCTTACGAACCGGAAACAACAGTAAGATCTAATCTTCAACAATACCCCTTTTGCGAAACTTTTAGTCTGTTCCTTCTTCTGATCGCTCCCGATTCAGCACGTCACTAACCCTATCGGGAATCCTTGTCTCGTTCAACGCGCGGAGTTCATCGTCTGCCATTGGCCGCGTCTTGATCCAATTTCCAATCTCTTGGAGTGGTGCCGTTCCTAGTTCTGCTTTTTCGATTTCGTAGAGTCTAAACTCTGTGGAGGACGGTGGCATGCCCTCCCTCCCGAGAGCTCTTGGTACTGGTGAGAAAATGTTGATGGGTTCTGGCGATAGTTTAAGACTGATGCGAAGGTATTTACCCCGTGCGAAAGTTTCTGGGCTCCGATAGCCTTCAATGTGTAATCCTCTCTTGCTTGTCTCCCCTTCCAGAATAAACAACACCGCATGCGTTGCATGATTCTTTCTAGCCTCTATGGCTGGATCATTATCGAGAATTGTGTCAAATATTTTCCATGGTAGTCCCCTGTATTTGTCCTCTCACGGACTTGAGTTCTTTTTGTATGTCAGCACTAATACTCATTTTATATCTTCGTCTTCTCAGACATCAGTGATTTTAAGAAGTGAATAAGGTTTAATGTCGGTCGTTGGAAGCTCAAATTAATAGTAATATATACAAAGCCAAGTCCACACAGAAATCATTTCGTACACCCATTGTTGATTATGGTTTTCAGTGTACTCTTTTTATTTCGTCATGTATCGTTTGATTAGTAGTTATTAATTGATAGTGTACCTCGTCGTACTGATAAAACCATTAGTTGTACTGAACACTTGCCATTGTTTTGGATGGCAACTGGGTCACCTCATTTTGTTCAATGAAATAAACGTCTATAATAGTGGACAGGGTGTCTGACGGCAAGTCCGTGTCTAGTTGGGAAAGTCTTGCAATCCTTTGATTCGTTCTTTTATCTGTCCGCAAGTTTACAGCAAGAGGCACCTAATTAACATCCATTGGACATTGGAATCTAGAAGCCAGCTGGGACGTATCTCGCAAATGTGCTTCAAAGCTTTTTTCAAAAGTCTCTATTGTATCTGTTTTGCCAAATTTCACTTGGTGAAGTGGCTTTTTGCGTTTGATCGAAATGGATTTCTAGAGTCTAGTAGGCTCTGAGTATGTCCCGATATTTTTTTCATAATGTTATTCTGAATTTCTGTGGATAAGTCTGTGGCTTAGTTCTCCAGAATGCTGTTTGAGGATTGGGTAACTGATTCATGGGTTATTTGTCCATACCTGGCGTTGATATTTTCTTTCTTCCCAATGCTAACTGGGATTTGTGTTTATATGTCTTTCATGTTATTGATGTGAAAGATAGTTTGGTGCAGGACGACACAGCCTCTTCTTTTTTCTGTCACGATAACCAGAGAAAGGCTACATGGCAGTTTTCACGTCGGCTGAATCAAGTTATGTGACATCAGAAAATAGGCACTACGGTTCTTTCTATGAGGCAAATGAACAGGATCGTTCTTGTTCTGAATGGTATTTTACCAGAAAGGAAATCGAAGAACATTCTCCCTCGAGGAAAGATGGCATTGATTTGAAGAAAGAAACATATCTCCGAAAATCCTATTGCACATTTCTTCAAGACTTAGGAATGAGGCTTAAAGTGTAAGTTTTCATGTACAACTTAGTGTTGTGATTGCACTATTTTTTTGTCTTTTAGGCTCAATGAAATAATAACCTAGTGGAGAATCAAATAGGACTCGTACCATTTAGATGAGCTAATCTTGTAACTTATGAAACGAATCTATGTGATAATGATTTTGTACCAGTCAAATTCCATGTTCCATGATGAGCGTCATTGGTTTTAAATGATGGATTTTGTCGATTACATTCTTGTCTTTTTTGTTTGAGTGGTAATTGTTAGTATTCAAGGTTTTATTTGAATAAAGTCTTTCAAAGTGAATCTTTTAATGCCACACATTTGTCAAAAATACTTGTTAGGTGTTGGTGACTTATTCTGACTCATCTATAACAGATTGTGCTAGTGGTTTGAATCGTGTACCTAGTGACTATCTTTCTTATGTCTGTCCTTTGACTTTTCACTCATATGTTATTTCTCCCTTTTCTGCTATAATTTTTTGCTTGCCTTAGTCTTTGATATTTTCATAATTTTTTTCTTCTTACTTCGCCAATGCACTGGAGTCCTTATATATTTGTGCAATAATTATTAGTTGATCATCTCATTATACAATTACCATGGCCACAAAAAAAGGGAACTACCCAGGTTTAGGAATTTGATCAACTAAAAAATTGACTGAAAGAAGCTAACTTCCAATTTACACGTTTTTCCCACACTCCCCCTTAAGCTGGTGAATAGGCATTCCCTGTTCCCAGACTTTGAAATACTGAACTACTAAATCTCTTAGAAAGTACATCCGCAAGTTGGTCATGTGTAGACATATAAAGTGTACAGCCTCTCTCCAACTTCTCCTTGATGAGGTATTTGTAAATCTTGATCTATTTTATTCAATCATGTTGCACTGGGCTGTGAGCTTTGCTAATTGCAGATCTGTTATAATAATAGAGTCTCATTGGAGCATCCCACCTAACGTTCAAGTCCTCTAAGATGATCTTCTACCAAAGAAGTTCACATACCCTGAGCTATTGCTCGAAATTCAGCCTCTGCATTAGATCGTCATATCACATTTTGTTTCTTGCTTTTCCATGCCACGAGGTTGCCACTCAGAAAGCTGCAATATCAAGAAGTTGATTTGCTATCAACCACTAATCCTGCATAACCAGCATTTATGTACGTCTCAAGTCTGTTACACCCCATTTGTTTCTTTTGAATAGAATATCTTTTCCTGATGTCTCTTCGAGGTACTCTAGCTTTTGTGGACTGGTGGCATGAATTGAGTAATCACACGAACTGCATATGCTAAATTTGGTCGTGTACGAGATAGATAAATGAGCCTTCTTACCAAGCACTGGTACATTTCCCTATGTGCTACAGAATAATCCTGTTTTTCCAAGCCCAAGATTCGGATCTATTGGAGTACTTGTTGAGTTCCATGCTGTCTTGGTTGTTTCACTAAGACTGTTTAATGAACGGCTTGTGATCCCCTTGGCTTTGTCTCTATCCTATGACAATAATAACTCTTGTGAATCAACCAAGTGCTCAAGGTAATTGCATAAGTTTGTATGGAACTTTCTATAATTTACACACTAAATAAGCTGCTAAATTATTTCCATATCTTTGTAGGACATCCATATAAATTCCACCGTTTGTATTGACAAGAAGATTCTAATAGTATTCATCTTTGCAATCAGAACAAACATCTCTACGTAATCAATCCCATAGGTTTGAGTATAGGTTTGAGTATAGCCCTTAGCAACCTATGAGATTGATTGCTTAGAGTTGTTTGCTCCAGTACAACTATTTCATTCTTGACTATATAGATCTATTTGTTTGATATTTCACTCTAAAGATCCATTTACTCCTTGTGGGTCTGTTTCCTGCTGGCAGCGTTACTAACTCTCAAGTTTTCTTCTTCTCTAACACCTCCATCTCCATATTCATGCTTTGTTTCCATTTCTTATTAGACAAAGTCTTAGATGAGGTGGTTTGGGTGGCAATGGTGTTTAACTAATAAGGCTCTATAAGATGGTGAAAAACATTTAAAAGAAATGAAGTGTGCAAGAGGATGTAAGGGTTGTTTTGTGCATTCTACAGTCCCTTTCCTAACGGCAATGTGAAGATCCTGGTTATTGTTGCTCATATGAGATTTATTCTCAACTTGCAATGGATGCTTTGAAATTATTCCATCATTCTCATGATCTAGGTTGGATTCTCAGGTCTGTGCAGATCTACACACATCTGTTTCCTCCCTTGAGAACACCTTCCCTTTACCATATCTTACATTTTCAAAGGCAATGTTAAAATTTCCTTGATGGTTTTCTACAGCTTCAAATTCAAGTTATGGCATGGATTCAGATGCAGGTTCAGACAGGAAAAATGATAGACATAGGATGTGGCGGCAGATAAAATTTCCCATCCTTATCTTCAATGATTGAATTCCCTCCTTGAAGATGTGGTGTGGTGAAGTAAGACACTTGTTCATAGAAAGTGACATCCACTAAGACAAAAGTTCTTTGATGGAGGGTGATAACACTTGTACCCTTACGGAGTTGGAGAATAGCTCACCAAGAGACACTTTAACGCCCTTGGACCTAAATTCCTGCTATGTTGACCATGACCATGAACAAATGATTTACAACCAAGAATTATAGGGAAAAGATTATTTGTGGTGCGTAGGCTTGGATAGAATAATGGCAACATTTCCATTGGACTCTTGAATCCTAAGACTCTAAGAGTCAAATGATTTATGAGATGAATTGTTGTAATAATTCTTCCTCCCCAGAAGGATTTAGGCACATATTTTTGGAACAGAAAGGCCTGGTTTACCTCAAGAAGATGACCATTTTTTGTTCATGCTACTCCATTGTCTTGTTATGTTTTGACACATGATGGCGGATGTATATATGGATGGGTATGGATGAGTGGACATCAATGTCGATATAATATACTGTATATGTCATTCATATCTGGTACCATCTATGTGCTTCGTATCAATATCACCAAATAAACTAGGACATCTTTCCTCTATTTTCTTCAAGTTTTTTTTTAGGATGTATAGATGATGATGTCTACTGATGCTTCTACCTAAAAACTCTGTTATTTATAGTTATGTTTGTATTGTGTATCAAGATTTGGCCATGCCTTGTCTCTTAGGCATTAAGAGAGTGGGTCACTGCATTGATGGCTATGCTCACATCAAAAACCTGTACAAGGGATTAGTTGTGGTTTTTAAATTCTTGTTCTCATGTCATGATATTTCCTACAAAATCTAACAGCCTAGTGACAGGTGAATACTTGTCACACGTGTATGTTTGATGGAGCACCTTGTTTTTCAAGAGTCAAGACATGAGAACACGTGTATATTTGTGCCTTTCTCTTCCTTCATGGAACACCTTGTTTTTCAAAAGGCTCGCAAACATTTGAGAGGTGTGGGATCAGAGAGGGTAATACTGACTGCTTAACTTGATGATTCTCTGACTAAACACTTGGAACCTGCCAAAAAATCCTTAATAGACCTCTTCGGGCAAACGATCATTGGAAGGTGCAGGAATACTTAGTCTTAGCAATGGCAACAGGATATGGACATAATGATAGCCAACTGATGTTCTTTTGGTTTTTATTAGGACAGTCAGTAAGACAGTAGTGCAGTTAAAAACAGTGTTGTGGTCTGAATCTCATGCAGTCTAACAAGAAGCAACTTAAATGCCCTAATTTTAATTCTGAAGATGCAGTTCTGCAATCATAGACCTTGAAGTCACTATGCATAGTGTGGGATGTCTCTATAGGATAAGATGGAACTAATTATACTTGTGTGACAAGAATAATTAGTTGTGAGAACCTGGTTCGTGAATATTGGGCCTCCAGAGGATTACTGTAGAATGAAGGGTACAATGAACTTGAGGACAAGCGAGGAACAGGGATCAAGGAGACGGGATGCATGACTGGACTCATAGAGAGAAGAAGAGAGTATAATAGATTAAAACGGGTCTCTCTCCTATCCTATGCATATGAGAGGGAACAACTATACTAGGTCTAGGACTGGCCCTAATGAGCCATTTGCACACGAAGCAACTAATTATTCTGAAGTATACGTTCAGGAGATGAAGGGACAATGCCATATGGCTATGAAAAAAGTAGACAGACGAAATGTAATGGACAGGTTGTTTATACTATTGTTATTGAAGTGATATTCTTTCTTTATTTCATATTAAATGATTCTTTTTGATGTTGTTTATGCTATCTCCTTTTTATTTGCCTATGCTAGAAAGTAACATTTTCTCCAGTCCACAGGTCACAATAGCCACGGCAATCATATTTTGTCATCGCTTTTTCCTTCGGCAATCTCATGCGAAGAATGACAGAAGGGTATGGATTGCAATATTTTTCATGTTATGGAAATCTTAATCTTTTGAGAGTCAAGTATCCTTATTCTGAACAAGTGAATTGCCGAAGCCTTGTGCCAGTGAAAATTCATTTCTTGGTTCCATTGATTCTCATCAAATTCAATGCTTGAAATTCATTGTCTTTATTTAGATAGCTTATGGTTCTGTACCCTTAGTTCTTCCAGTTAGTGTAACATGTTCTCTTTCGGTAGCTTAGGGGCATGAAAGCATGTTAGATTTCGACTCTTTTAATGTATCATTATGGATAGCGCATTTGCTTAAGTTCATTACTAAAAATATTGTGATGCATACTTGTAGCATAAGCCTGACTTACTTGTGAGGAGTGGAAGAATTTTTTGCTTTTTAATGCAAAAGTTGAGAGGAAAACAATGTTGCAAAATAAAGGAAGTGATTCAAAATTAAACTTTTGTTCCCTTTGCTCTTCATTCTCTATCATTCTTCTTTTTTTATCTCGACATAAATTTTAAGAAGCATGAAGCAGGATGTTACATCTATATTTGTCCATTCTCTTCCAATCTCCATTTATATAGTGGGCCATATGATGAGAGAAGCATGTAACACCATATTTCTTTGACCTCAATACTTCACAATATATCTCTGACCAGTAGAATATAGTTCCTATTCAGCCATTTCACTATGTCCTACACTGTATTGAGCAATACTGCTGGCAAAATACTGCTGTTATTTTTTTAAAACTTGGCTGGTCCAATCATATTTATTGATATGTCCCTCGCAGACTATTGCCACAGTGTGCATGTTCCTTGCTGGGAAGGTTGAAGAAACCCCTCACTCATTAAATAATGTTATTCTTGTTTCCTATGACATCATTCATAAAAAAGACCCAGCTGCGAGACAGAGAATCAAGCAGAAGGTATTATCTACTTTATCACTCTTTCAGCATTTAAAATTTTTTCCAACACTTTTCTTTTCTTTTCTACCATTGTTTATCCGTCTTGGCAAGTTCTCAATCCTTCTCTTTTGATTTTTTTTTCTTGGTATGTTTTGCCTCACACCTATTATATCCACTGTCAAACAGGAAGTGTATGAACAGCAGAAGGAGCTCATTTTACTTGGGGAAAGGGTTGTCCTCACCACCCTTGGTTTTGATCTAAATGTGCACCACCCATACAGGCCACTCGTTGAAGCAATAAAGAAATTCAGGGTGGCTCAGAATGCCCTTGCCCAAGTTGCATGGAACTTTGTGAACGATGGGTAAGCCCGTGCTCCTATCTCAGTCTCCACAATTGATGCTCCTCGCCCGCCCCCTGTGGGTCGGCTTCCTCGTTTGACTGGTCTAAACGTTTGGACTGGCCATGCAGGCTGCGGACATCCCTTTGCCTTCAGTACAAACCTCACCACATCGCAGCAGGTGCCATCTTCCTGGCTGCCAAATTCCTCAAGGTGAAGCTGCCGTCTGACGGCGAGAAAGTCTGGTGGCAAGAATTCGATGTCACCCCAAGGCAGCTGGAGGGTCGGTCCTCCCCCTACCCTGCTCTCCTCGCCCTCTTTCTTATTTACCTTCTCGGTTCCCCTTCTTCCCTCCGCAGAGAGTAACCAGTGAGACTTTTTCTTTCTTTTTCACCGGAGGACAGTGCCTTCAGCTCATATCTCACCTGGGAAGGAAGATTTTCGTTGATATTGAATTTCTTCTTCCTCGCAGATGTTAGCAACCAGATGCTGGAACTTTATGAGCAGAACCACACCATTCAAGCCTCCCATGGGAGTGAAGTCGACGGGAGCACCAGCAACCTGACTGCTACTCGTCCGCCAAAAGCGGCAGCATCGGCAACCAATGAAGATGCCGCATCAGCTAGCAGTCGGCCCCCCGCCGGAGGCACAGCGGCAGACACCAAACATAGAGCCCCGGCCCAATCACCCACGAGATTTCTGTCCGAGCAGTCACACGGTGACGACCAACACCCCCCCCACAGCCAACAAGCGTTAACCCAGGGCAACAACCCGAGGAATGCCCCCGAGGCGTTGAGTGGGGTCTCGGACCACAACCTGGACAGCGACAGCTGGGATGCCCACCACCCATATCATCACCGCAGAGAAGTGGCGGAGGCCTCAAGCAAGCCCCAGCCTCATGCAGAAGCCGACTGGGAGGCTGCCAAGGGCCGCTGCCTCCCCGATGCAATCAAGAGGATCGATAAGGACAAGGTCAAGGCCGCGCTGGAGAAGAGGAAGCAGTCCCGCGGCAACCTGGCCAAGAGTGCTACTGACCTGATCGACGAGGACGATCTCATCGAGAGGGAGCTCGAGAGCGGTGTCGAGCTTGCCGCTAAGGACGAGAGGACGCAGCAGGAGACCAGGAGGAGCTGGCCCAAGCCCCCCTCCTCTCAGAGGCAAGGATCCGAAGACCACCCAGGTGCTGACAAGGAAAAGATCGGCGGCGGGGTTTTTGAAGATCAGCAACAGCAACAGTCTCAAGGCCGGCAGAACCCCAAGTCTTCTGACCGAGAAAGAGGGGCCCTCCCTGACTCGAGCGTGGACAATGCAGAGGAAGGGGAGCTCTCGTCTCTCGACTGCCAGGAGCCCCGCCACCGTCCAAAGCCCGACAGGGTCACCGCCAATGGCAAGAGACAACTGGAAGTGACACAGCAGCGCCCAGATCGTCCCCACATATCCAGGGACTCAACCAGGGACGCCTGGCCCGAACACGTGGAAAGGGACTCCAAGCGGCCGCGGCATGAGGCCCACGTGTGATGTCCACCTGCACAGCCTCCAGGCGATGAGAGCCCCCAAGGAAAGGAACAAGCGAAAAGGGGAAAGGAGGAAAGAAGAAAAGAGGAAAGGATCCCGTTTGGAAATTTGATCTGGGATTTCCTTCTCCAGCTGCAGGCTCATGGAAGAAGCTTGTGCCCGTGGTAGTAAGTAAATATTTCCTACAATTTCATGCAGACGATAATTATCTCTGCCCTGTGCAGCGAGTGTGCATCAGCAAGAGCTGGCCTTCGGCGTAGTAGCTCTACTCTCCTAGCCTGAGGGCCTCTCGAGGCAATAAGCTGCGGACTCAGGAGGGAGGGAGGAGACAGGTCGGGGGTGACTCTTTCTGACTGCCCTTCCATGATCATCAATGTCCAGACACTCCTGCGAACATTTTTTTGACCTGCTCGGAGCAAAAGCGTACAGAAAAAAAAAAAAAGGAAAGAACATTGATGGTGTTGATCCACGCTTTGCTTGGTGTTGATCCCCAGTGCTGTTCAATTTTTCGTTTTTCTTTCATTTGGGTCCTCTGATAATCATCCCAACAATACAAAGGGTGTTCCTAACATGAAGTTAAATAGAAAATAAAAATGTAATCGAACAAACCCAAAATTACCGACCAACTAGTGAACTCGAGTAAAAATAGTTGGAAAATGAACAACATACTTTATTGCCTATGAATAAGATCACCCGTGGCAACATGAATTTTTTTTTCGAGGTGATTGAATGCTGACCAAATGTAACTAGAAGAATCAGGTGAGATTAGTGTAGAATTGGGCCCATAGAATTAGGTCTATTAATGTCAATCTTGATCTACATGAGCAGATTATGTAAACATGGATTTCCTTTTCAAGATGATTGAATGCTGTCCGAATGCAACCAAAAGAATCAGATCGATTATTGTCAATTCTAATCTAGATGAGTGATCGCTCCAACTTGTCACTAATAAGGAAGAATGATAACACTATTTATAAACTAAATTTCCAAAAAAGATATAACTAATGAGTGTAGTGAAAAATCAAGTTGATTCACAAGAAATTGTCTAATCTAAGCAAATCTAATGAGATGACCAAATGGTTGACTGTAAGAAAGAATGAGATGAGAAGGTAGAAGATAATTAACTTAGACACACTAAGGGGGGAGGGGGGTTTCTTTTGATGATTATTTAATCACCAAGAGAAGAAAAATTAAACAATAAACAAATGGTGAAATGTAGGAAGATGGTGAATTACTTAACCTTAAAGTGCGTAAATGAAAACTTTAATCTTCTAAGATCCTCTTATGTCACTTAGGAGATCAATAGAAAAACTAAAGGAGACTAATCTGCTCCTAAATTACTTCCTAATATCTCTTAATCTTTCTCTACTTCCAATCAATGCTCAATTTTGAAGAATCAATCGAGTAAAAGAACATGAAAGAAGAAAGATCAAATGAAGGATCTGAAGTATCATAAATCTATTTTACCTTGTTCACTTTTGGAAATATGATTAATCTTGATAAATCAAGATATTCATATACATCATGGGGAGCAAAGGAAGGGAAGAAGGATTGGATTCTATCTTAAGATCAACCTATTATCACTCTAGGGATAAAAAAACCAAAGCCCTATCTACTCTTCATCCAGAACAACTCTTTCTCACCAGGAAGGTTTCAAGAAGAAGAGAAAACAATAAGGAAATAAAAGTCATTCATTGAAGAATTAAAGAAGTTCATAAAACATAAATAAAATAAACTACATGTGCCTTCATTGTTGATGCTTGGAGTGCTTCAAGTGGATTCCTCTTCAATAGTTCTTGGCATTGACGCCTTGGTGAAGCTCTTGGATCAAATCCTCTTCTCCTCTAGGTGAGTCCCTCTCCCAAGTACGAATGATTTTCTTTCTCCTCAAATGACCTTTTATTCTTCTCTTGGTTGAGTCAATTCTCAACCCGTGGCTCATGGAGGAGAGTGCACAACCCTTGGATCAGATTCCTCTCTCCAAGGGTAGCCCAAGGGTGATGGGCAGCTCCTAGGATGTCCTCTCACCTTTTCTCACCATAGGACTTATCTTAGCCCTTGGATTGGGTTGATTGAGGGGCTGAGATAGTCTCAAAGGTTGCCTAAGGAGAGAGAGGGGCATGGCCAATGAGAAGAAGCTACCTTCTACACTGCCACCCTTCTCCTTGGTCACTATGGTGGCAGCGTACGAATTCTTCCAATGCATGTTAGGGTTAGAGGAAGAACGACTCTCAGAAGAGGCACTTCTTGAAGGGATTGCTCCAGCCTCGCCAGAGGAACACTGTCTTTGGCAGACTTCTCTTGCTACAGCAATTTGGGAATTTCTATTTTCAGGTCGTTAGTTTCTTTTGCAGGTTTAATTGGAGCCATTCATCACCTAGAGTTATAACAGCACACAAGCAGCCATGTCAAACTAAGAGCCAGCTCATTTGGGAGGCTGTTAGAGACACTCTCTCTTCTTCCTTTATTAGTTCCCTATAAATACCCCTTCAAGTATTCGATGAAATGTGCTCTAAACATTTCTCTTTGATTCAATTCTATTATGTGCATTTTTCGTTCTTGATTTCCATTTTTGGAAGTTCTTGTGAGAATTTTTGACTTTACAAAGCAAACAAGTGGTATCAAAGCCACTCAATTTGCAGAATCTTCAAGATGGTGAAGAAAGGAGGTGAGACGTGCACTTTCTGTCAGCATAGGAGTGAGACGATGCACATTCTTGATGCAAAGAAGATGGTTTAGGGTTTAGGGTTTTAGGGTTTAGGGTTTAGGGTTTAGGGTTTAGGGTTTAGGGTTTAGGGTTTAGGGTTTAGGGTTTTGGGTTTTTTTTTTTTTTTTTTTTTTTGAAATGAAGAAATTTGATTGAGTGCTAGAAGTTTGACCGCATTGTCAGGTTGCATAAGTGGGATCTCATTCGCACAAAGGTCGAGGATGAGATGGAGGATTATGGACCTCTTTTGAAGAGGGGATGTGATAATAGTGGAGATAGACTCCAGTGCGCTCATAATGTTTGAAGGCGATTGATTTGCATTGGGCTGGAAGAGCTATTGAGTTCATGATGTTGGAAGATCCGCTCAACAGTAGTAGGACGTGTAGACCTCCGTGATGTGCACCATGAGGTGTTCCTGCAAGACAAGAGTTTGCTGCAGTAAGTGGTTCTAAGAAATAAATAAAATGATATAAGGTGGTGAGAAAAGAATGGTTAGGGTAGTGAGGAGGATAGAACTATGCTGGAACATGACAATAAGCCGAAATATGAACTTGCCTTCCTAGTGTTGCACGCACCTAATCCCTTTGGCCATGATCTTTCACCCCACGAGGAATGACTTGGTCTCTTTTTCTAACTCTTTTCTTTTCTCTTATTCTCTCTCTCTTTTTTTTTTTTTTTTTTTTTGAGGGCCTCTTCTTTCACCCTTCACTAATGTCCATTATTTGGTGTACAAGGGTAATTCCCTTTGGAGTATTAGGCTAGTGATTAGGGGAAGGGAAGTAGGTTGCCCCCCCTTTTATTTTTTATTTTTTAGTGAGGGCCTTTTCCCTCACCCTCCACTAATTTTCTATGATGGGCTAGTGATTTCGGGAAAAGAAGTAGGCTGCCTCTTTTTTTTTTTTTTTGAAGAGAGAGAAAGAGAGGGAGAAAGAAATAGAGAATCGAGAGAGGAGAGAGGGTCAATCCTATTGATATAGATCCTTACCTTCTCATGGGTTCAAGTTGGCTGATGGTACTAATGAGATCTTGAGAGAGGTGCTAGGTTGGCGATTCACAACTAGTTTGGCACGTCTGATGTGTTATAGACCTATAGTTCAAAAGTGGGTAGATGCCAACATGTGCTAATAGTTCTATGTGTCCTCACTACTTGAGGGTGATAGATAGTAGATGTGAGGTGATTATAAGGAGAGTAATGATTGGAAGTAGTGTACCCGAGTGGATTGCAATGAGCCTTGTCGTCCGTCTTGTGCTGATAGACAAAATGTGTTCCACATCGGTGATATGGGACGAGCGCCATGATGATGTCATGGTTGTGGCGTGTGATAGACCTGAAAATAGAAACAAAGGAAACACGTACTTGTATCTCCGTTGTGGTCTTCAGCGGCCAATGGTAGTCACCCCTAGTCTCCTCCAAGCAATACGTCACTGCTATGGAGGGGTCGGTAGTGGAGTGCGGTGTATGCGTAAAGAGGGTATGCTGAGTCGCTAAAGTCTATGAGCACCTCGGGCTTTGAGGGGCATGTCCTACCAAGAAGAGAAGACTGTCCTCCGACGCAAACTGACTCCATACGTAGCAAGGGCGTCGGCCGTCTGATTCCCTTCTCGGAACTGATGCGTAATGGTTGTGATGCGCCCTCGACATCGCATGATGTATGTCTAGATATTCTTGAGCCTCCAATGAGGACAAGAGTCTGCACGTAATATGTCCACTAACACTCTGGAATCAGATTCTAAGACAATATTAGTAATATTTTGCTCCTCACAAAGAAGCAAATCATCTCGTATTGCCATAGCCTCTGCCACAGTATTAGTTTGTATATTATAAAAGTTTGAAAAGACAAAGAGAATGCATCTTATACTATCGCGTAGGATACCTCCTCCTCTAGTTGGTCCTGGGTTGCCTTGAGATGCTCCATCGATATTGAGTTTCCACCGTCCAACACTCGGTGGTGTCCATCTAACAGATCGGATAGTAGTCTGGGTCTGTGTAAGTATGATATGGAGTCCTCAAAGCCCAAAAGCCTCATAAATAGAACGCGAGCGTTTCGTTTTGTTTGGCACTAAGGAATGAGTACTTCGAAGCCATTGTGTTATGTGCCTCATAATCTCTATGGCACGCATCACTTGGCTTACAAATCGAGATGAGTTATGTCCCTTCCATATTTCCCATAACATATATGTTATGGAGATACAGATGAAGGGACTAATCTTGACACTCGTCAATGAGTCAATGACTCTCCTAAAGACCTCTAGTGGTGGTCTCGTAGGTCTGTACGAGAGCATTGGAAGCCAATTCGCTAGAAGTTGACGCCAACATTCGACAGGGATATCACTATGGAAAAATAGATGTTCCATACTTTCGTCTGTCGTGATGGAGCAACAATGACATCTCCTTTCCACCTCCTGATCGGTGACAATCACTCAATCGTCGGTGGGTAGTCCTCGGTGCATGAACTTCCATAGGAAGAATGAAACACAAGGTGTGATGGCCAGATGCCATATGAGATTTCCCCAAAATGTCTTTGGGGAGCGGTTTCTAAAGTGCTCCCAAGAGGAGCTACAAGAGAAACTACCATCTATGGTAAGTGTCCAGATGGGTTGGTCCTCAGTAGGACTCGTCTTAATCATGGTGATGGTTGGTAACAAGTTCGACGGTAGTCTATGCCTCTCAATAAGTAGATGAGTGTCTCCTTGGAGAAGCTGGGCTACCGTCAAGTGAGGCCAAGAGGATGTGAAAGTGGTAAACCTGGCCAATGGTGTGTCCTCTAGCCAAGTGTCGTACCAAGCACTGATCGCGCCTCGCCCCACTCGCCAATGAATAAGGGGCACCATCTCTAACCAATGTCTCTACTAGTCCGCCCATCGTTTGACTCCTTTCATGTCGGCCGGCTGTCGAGCCCACTTGCCATATTTGGCTGACACAAAAGAGCCTAGCACCGATGGTGTGGTCCTCATCCTCCAAACGAGTTTCTTTTGAAACATGTTGAGTACATCTTGAGGGCGCCTAATACTTAGGTCACCCTCATCCGTAGGTCGACATGCTTTCTCCCAAGAAACTCGACATTGGCGACGAGGTCCCTCAAGTTGTCCATCCCAAAGGAAGGACGTGCATAGCCATCTAATAGTTTGTAAGATGGTGTCTGGTACCTCATGGACTGCTAAAAGGTGTAATGGCATGCTCATGAAGATGTGGCGTATCAACTGGATCCGTCCTCCAGGGGATAAAAGTTGTAACTTCCATCCTGCTAGTTTCTTCCTCAACTTGCCTACTAGGGCGTCAAAATAGTGTATGCGCCTACGGCCGAGGAAGATAGGACATCCTAGGTAGTCAAAAGGTAAGTGTCCATGAGAGAATCCTATTAGGCCCTAGATGTGTCGTATGGTCCCTATGGGGGTAGAAGGGCCTACCATGAAGCTACTCTTTGAGGCATTTATGAGTTGACCTGCAACTCGCTCATACCTCGAGATAATACTCATGAGCCCTCTAATAGATGTCTCACATCCATTGAGGAAGAGTATTGCATCATCAGTAAAGAGGGAGTATGAGATGATCGGACAACCCCTCTTCGAGTAGTATGGTTGGATAAGTCCTTGATTGATTGCTCGGGTGAGAGATCGACTGAGGACTTCTTCGACCAAGATGAAGAGGGTGGGTGATAGTGGATCGCCCTGTCGTAGACCTCTCATGGCCGTGAAAAATGGTGTGGAGCTACCGTTCACCAATAAAGAGAAATGATTGTCCCTAACACATGCATCGACTAAGTCAATGAAGTCGTCAGTGAACCCAAAGCGTCTAAGAACCTTAATGAGGAAACTCCACTCTATCCTATCAAAGGCCTTCTCTATGTCTAATTTAATGATGATGTTGGAGTCTCGACAGTCATAGCCAAGGGACTGTGCTAGTTCATATACTAGCATGATGTTATCGTGAATGTGCTGTCTCTTAACAAATCCGCATTACTCTGGAGATATAAGTCTATCAAGGAAACTACTCAATCTACGTGTAACGATCTTAGATACAACTTTATAACACACGTTACATAAATTGATAGGTCAAAAGTCTCTAAATGAGGTTGGGGTAGTCACCTTCGGTATAAGTGCAAGGAAGGTGGCCTTCCAACTCCATGTAAAGACTTTACGACGAAAGATTTCCTTGATAGCCTGGATCAGATCAGTGCCAACGATATCCCAACATGAAATGTAAAAATCAGTTGGGAAACCATCGGGCCCGGGTGCACGATGTATGGTCATAGAGAAAACTACTTCCTTGATCTCTTCTCCCGTGGGTATGGCCGTCGTGAGAGAGCTCTCATGGTGAGTGACCAATGATGGGATCGAAGTGAGCATATCATCAGAAATCTCGATCGGCTGAGAGGTTAAGAGAGTACAAAAGTACTCAACTCCTGCCTCCTGCATGTGGGAAAGGTCCTAATCATATGTCTCTAAAAGAGAGGTATAATCTGAACGTGAGCGGTGAGCGACCAAGGCATGAAAGAAATGAGTGTTTCTATCACCCTCTTGTAACCACTGGATGCGTGATTTCTAGAGATAGAATAACTCCTGTCGTCGCACAACCTCATCAAGCTGGTCGCTCACTCTACTCCTCTTTTCTCAGGCAGCATCTGAATATCTAGCTTGTAGTAGTCTTTCAACCTCTGCTAACTCTTTTTGCAATGGATCAACCTGGGTATAGACATTCCCATAGATATGTCGGTTCCACCATTTAAGGTGGAGTTTGAGATTCCTTAATCGATAGCTAAGGTTCTCCATAGGAGAATATGAGATATGTCCGTACCAGTGATTCCGTACGAAACTCTGAAAGTCTTCATGTTGGAGCCACATGATCTGAAATCTGAAGGGAGGTCTGTGGGTGCTCATACTCTGTTTAGGGAGTATGAGGATCGGAATGTGATCTGACCTATAACGAGGTAATATCGTGACTAATATGGGATGTCGCACCATGGCGATGTTGTTGATGAAGCAGCGATCGATACGCTCATAAATCAAAGCATCCCCTCGATTGTTGCTCCATGTCCATGCCTCGCCTGATGTAGGTGGCTCAATAAGAGCTAATCAAAAAATGCAGTCATTGAACGTTTCTATGTTACGTGCCCTAGGGATCCACCCACCTTGACGTTCACTAGTAATACGAACACAGTTGAAGTCACCTACTAGGTACCAAAGAGACTCAACTAGTGTAGGGTAGTCCCTCACGTACTGAACTAGGTTTGCCCAAAGAGTTTCCCTTTCTTCGGATCTATGTGATATATAGATGACCGAGAAGGTGAACACTTGGTTGAGATCTCGAACCGTTATAGTGATATGCTGGGATCCCTCGACTAGCAACTCCATAGAGTATGGTCTAGTCCAAAAGAGCCAAATATGATTCGTGGGGTTGGAGTGAAAATGATCCATACCCAATCGCCTAAGTAAGGGTTGGATACGATCTGATGATATCATGAGCTCAATGAGACCTACTATACCTAGTCGGTACTATCTGATAAGGCTACCTATATAGAATTGGGTTTCGAGGTTACCTATACCCCGACAATTCCGTATGATGCTAGGTATCATGATCTAATGAGTGGCCCCACGAGTCCTAGATCTCGTGGAGTAAGGTGAGCATCTAGGGAGTCGTGTGGTCCTAGCCTCTATCTGATATCCCTCCTCTAGGTAGGAAGTCTCAATGTCAGTCTCAGATCCACCATCCTCATGGGTACTAGTCATGTGGCCACTAGTATCATGAACACTAGATGGGGAGGATGGGTGCAGTGCTTGACGATTCATCAAGCATTGTCCTCTATCAGGGCTCTCCCTAGAATCAGTGGGTGGTGGATCAAGTATAGGAAACTGATCTGGCGAGTGTGGTGGGGGAGAGGGGGGGAGGGTATAAGAATCAGAAGGGGGGGCTACGTAAGATGTACTAATAGGAGGTCTGCTGGGGTTAGGCCCTCCTAGTAGATCCTCGATGGGGATCTGAGGGAGATGGGTAGTGCCCAAGCCTATACCCTCAGAGAAAGGGGTAGACCTTGGTCGGTGGAGATTAAGAGGTGAAGGACTCCTGCTACGTGGGGAAGAGCGAATGGGTGAAGAGAAGCTGGGTGGTGGAGAGTGATAACATGCTATTTATGCATGTAATTATATAATTATTAATGCAAATTAAGGCATTAATCATTACAAATATATGCATGTTATCATATTTTAAGTATATTTCTATCATTTTGTGTAAATTCATGTTATGATCTTAAAATACACCAAATTATGGATTATTATAAATAATTACACATTACAATCTTTAATCCTAATTATATTTATGATCATAATCATGTTTTAAGAGTGAAAATATGAGAGAAAAGATATTTATTAACATTTATGTATTTATATAAATTTATTTTATATAATACATAAATGTATAAAATTAATTAAAATTTATTCTCTTCTTATTTTAATAATTTGACCTTTTATAATGATAGATTATTCAATTTTGAATCCAAAAAAACAAATTTGAATTAATTTGGAGTCGTATTTTGAAAGTTATGATTTTTACAATTTTATAGAATTTTCTGGAATTTTTCTGAATTTATTTATATTTATTTTCGATTTTTAAATGTTTTAAATTAATTAAAAAAATCGAAAAAAGGGGTTATATGTCGCGCGTGTACACGTGGATGCGACGTGGTACTCGGGGCCACGTGGCTCTGCCATGTGGACAGCACGCGGGTGCCTGCGTGGCGCTGATGTGACACGTGGCGTACTTATATTTACTATATATATTTATTTAATAAAGTATATAGGTCTTCCGATTATCGGAAGACAAAGTATTAATCCCTCTTAATCGTCATATCTTATATACCCGAATATACTTCTTTGTTTTTCCCGTATGGGACTAAAGTCCCTTAGTTTTCTTATGTGCAGGACGCGTGGCGTGATCTCGTGCGTCTGATCGACATCGCGACAAATAGCATGCGTAGATCACGTGGAATCGAGGTCCACGCGATCAGAGATCAACCACGTGCCTAAATACTCACTTAAGTGAATAAATCGCGATCGTATGATCGAGAGTTATAACGGTCCAGATTATTCACATCAGATGGACATCCAATCACATCTTAACCGCACGATCACGATCGGACGATCGTCGAATCGTCGCGACGATTCGTGAAGAGGCGTCTCATCACGATCGTCCATTGCGATCAACTCCATCAGATCGGACGACCACGATCATTTCCGAATTTTATAAAATCCGTTCTTCACGACGGAAGAACTGCCCGCGATCAACCTTCAAATTCTCTTTGTTTAGAGCTCCAATTCGCACGCCATCTTTTTCATTGTGTTTGAAACTCATTTCCGCTTCTGTTGGATGTTTAATTTCAATGTTTTATTGAAAGAATTGGAAGAAATCAAGTCTTGAACTCCTCTTTCGTCTTCGAAAATTCGGAATGAAAAGCCTTGCATCCGGCGATTAATTGGATCATTTTGAAGGCTAATTTGAGGTAGATTGTTTGTTTTCATCTTAATCTTTCATCATTTAGTGTTAATTTTACTTTAAGTATTGTAGATTAAGTTTAATTTAGTTTTAATTTCTGTTTTTAATCATTTCGTGATACGAAAATTTCTCTTAACTTCAAACTTTGATTACTCTTCGAATTCTCATCCAAATCACCTGATTTTTGATTCCGTGGATTAGAAATCGAGTTATCTTTCTTAATATACTAAATTACCCAATTTCTAACCTAATTTCATCGTCTGATTTGACCGAATTTCAAAGATATCTCTCAAATTTCCCTAATTCTCCGTAGATTCGACCCTTAATTACCATTATACTAATTAATTACTTTGATTAATCATAAATTGGTAAGATTAGGACTTTTTTTTGACACTGAATCATGTGCATTCAACGACCATACGATTTAGTCTCGTCAGAGAGATACGAATGGGTGGAGTGGGGTGGGTGAGTATGGGGGGTCAGATAGCCCGGGGGGATCTAGTATGTGGGATTTGACTAGGTGAGTCCCTCGTAGTGGGGGATGCTAGCCCTTTGGAAGGCCTAGTTTCCCTCTGTGTAGGTCCCTCAAAGTCTCTCTCATCTAAAGCCTCTAAGACCTCGAAGGTGTTTGAGGTCAGGGGTTTCTTTCCCTTGCCTAAAGGGGAAGGTGTAGCCTCTTGTGTTCCTTTCTTCCCCCCTGTGTGTGTGGAAGAAGGGCATCCAGCTGCTGGCTTTCGCCGTGCATGTTGTCTCAATCACTAAACTAGGCTACTCTAGTGACTTCCGAGGTAGGGAAGGTGGAGCCGCCATAGGGGCAATCGACCTCTGAGGATGACAAGCACTCTGAGCATCCTTTCTCATTTCGACGAGGTAATCGTCATATGAGATCCGTACTAAAAAGGCTCGTGTGGTCACCTGTGGTGTACCTGCCTTCTGACGGCATGTGCTGACAGTGTGGCCCAAGATAGCACAATATGTGCAGAAATATGGTAATCTCTCGTAAATGATAGGCTGGTAGAGCTCATCATCTTCACAACGTATAATGAGAGTCCTCTGTAGAGGGGCCATTAGGTCCACCTCTATACAAACTTGTGTGTATCCTGGTCGGTTGAACATTTTTATGCTTGGGTCAAGGCATATGAATGTTCCCACCGCATTTACCAAAGACTCAAGTGCCTTTGGCGTAAATAAATGAGGAAATAGGTATGAGAAGCCCACCCATAATGGAACCGCATGGGGCTGATGTGCTCGATACCCTATGTCGGTTTGCGGTGTCCATCTATGGGTATGGAGGGTAAACTCTCCCACTGTCCAAGTGGGTCGGCTCTATGCTCGACGATAGTCTGCTTCTAGCTCAAAGCGGATGTATACACTACGATAGTCTCGAGCTCCGATGGAGACTCGACCTTGGAAATTTCCAGGTGCCAAGTAAATCCTCTCTATGTCACCTATGGTTGGTCGTTTCATAGTGAAACAACCAACTAAAGTATGTCGGAATGCGGCTGCCATCTGTGAGACCTCTTCATGAGTAAAAGCTATGATCCTCATCCCATCATCCTTGCTATAGCCTCGCACTGGGACAGTGGTATTATAGAATGGGAATAGTATCTGATGCATTGGTCCATGTGGCGTGACAGTCTCTATGGAGGGGATAGAGGGTCTAGACACTTGTTGCACTTATGATAGGTGTCCAGTGGGCATAGTCGGGTTTGGCCTATGGGGCACAATAGTGTCCAGCCCACTAGGTGTAGATATAATGTGCCCAAGGGATGTGTTCAGGGCCAGTATAGAGGTCTCAATTAGTGCTGGGATCCTAGCTAGTTCGAGGGGCCCAGTGTGGGAGAGCCTAGGGGGCCCTATAGGTAGGGGTAAAATTGGCCCAATCTGTTGACTCGGGGCAGGCCTAGAGGACATGGCCGAGGGTGGGCGTAAAGGTCGGCGTCCTATCCTCTTTTTGGGCCACAGGCTCTTGCCCCTAGACTTCTTCAAGATAAGTCTATTAGGGTCACCATGGATCGGTCCAAGACTATCCTGGGTGAGCCCATCTGGGCCTCCTTTGGTGGGCCCATTTGGCTCCTTTGGGCCACCCAGTTCAAGCTCCTTTGGGCCTCCTTTAGTAGGCACAGGTGGCGTACCTTGAGTAGGCTCAAGTGTGCCTTGGGTGGGCCCATTTGGGCCACCCAGCTCAGGCCCCTTTGGGCTTCCCTCAGTGAGCCCAAATGAGTTGCCTTGGGTAGACCTAGGGTTTGGGCCTACTTGGGCAAGAGCTTGGACCGGTGCAGCCTGAGCCGGCTGCTTAGGCTCGGCCTGGGCCACCTGGGCCTGGGCCGGTGCGTCCTGAGCCGGCGCAGCCTCGATGGGCTGGGCCGGCATGGCCTGGGCTAGAGCGGCCTTAGATGGCGCTACTTGGGCCGGCTTAGCGCTAGCCACCTTGCCGGAGGCTCGCACGGGCCGCACTTGTACAGTGCCAGCTGAGCAGGGCTTGGCACGTGATGGTGCAGGGTTCCGTGCGATGCCAACGTCGGCGGCGTCTGACGTTGATGACGTCAATAGCGTCCCAGCCGAAGCATCGGCGACCGCAAAAGGTTGCAGTGCCTTTAAGATCAACGGTTGGATCAAGTTGGCCGTTGTGCCCGTCACCGTCTGAGGGCGGTGCCTCGGTAACGGCTGTTGAGGCCTTTATAGCCGGCTGATTCTGACCGTTGATCATACGATCAATGGCTGGATCAGAAGGGGCCTCTTCGCCCGCCGTCGCCTCGTTCCCAGAGGGAGAGTGGACGGTGTCAACTGCTGTCCCCTCCGATTTGGGCCTCGAGAAGACGCTAGCTGATGTCGAATCACGGACGTCCGTGGTTCGACCGTTCAGCTCATTTACGGCCGTCTCCTTGGTCACATCAACCGACAGAGAGGGAAGGCAAGGACAGAAGGCCGTTACTGCCACGTGTTGGCCTTCTGGTTGCTCGCATTCGTCGGGCGAGTTTTCATTCGGGCGACGGAGGTCACCCAATGAAATCTTTGAGCTACTCATCAGCTAAGCATCCAATCAAGATTATATACAAGAGAAAATGGTAAACAAGGCAAATACGATTCTATTGAACTAAAAATAATGAAACTTAACCCAGTCGATAGAAAGATAGTACCTTTGGAGTGAAAACTCCAGAAGTTTACCTTCGCGATGAAGAAATTGCGAAACAAAGGCTTTAATCAACCATTTGCGATGCTTAATAGCTCGAAACCGATAGTTATCGGCCTACAAAATCAAATAAACAAAGTTTCAGCGCGATCTGACGTCACACAAAAGAGATCTCACCGTTTGCGCTGATAGTGAGGAGACAGAAGCTCATGCAAAGAGAGAAAAAAAAGTTGACCAAATGAAATGGGTTTAGGGTTTAGGGTTTAGGTTTTTTTTTTTTTTTTTTGGGATAACTGTCTTGGGCCGAACTTCTTGGAAACTCAAAACTCGAATGATATGCCTCTCGGCATGGTGGCAGGGGTGCCTCTCGGCACGTTCTTCGAAACTCGAAGCATCTTGACATGGTGTTAGAGGGGTTCATAACACGTGCCTAGCGGCACGATAATGCAGCGGTGCCTTTCAGCACATGCAAAGCAAGCGTCTCGCAACGCATGCACACGTACCTTGGGACTTCCCAGGGAGGTCACCCATTCGATGACTGCTCCCACCCGAGCACGCTTAACTCTAGAGTTCTTATGGGATCCGGTGGCAACTCTCCCACTTAGGGGGGTTAGGGGTTAGGGTTTAGGGTTTTTTTTTTTTTTTTTTTTTTTTTTTTTTTTTTTTTTGGGATAACTGTCTTGGGCTGAACTTCTCGGGAGGTCACCCATCCCGGTACTTCACATCCCCAAGCACTTTGGTGCCTCTCAGGCGTCTTGGCATGATGAGATGGAAGCCACATATGCCTCTCGGCATGGTGGCAGGGGTGCCTCTCGACACGTTCTTCGGAGCTGGGGGCGTCTTGGCATGGTGAGATGGTTGCCACATATGCCTCTCGGCATGGTGGCAGGGGTGTCTCTCGACACGTTTTTCGAAACTTGAAGCATCTTGGCATGGTGTTGGAGGGGTTCGTAACACGTGCTTGGTGGCACGATAATGCAGCGGCGCCTTTCAGCACATGCAGAGCAAGCGTCTCGCAACGCATGCACACGTACCTTGGGACTTCCCAGGGAGGTCACCCATCCGGTGACTGCTCCCACCCGAGCACGCTTAACTCCGGAGTTCTTATGGGATCCGGTGGCAACTCTCCCACTTAGGGGGTTGTTTAGGGTTTAGGGTTTAGGGTTTAGGGTTTAGGGTTTAGGGTTTAGGGTTTAGGGTTTAGGGTTTAGGGTTTAGGGTTTAGGGTTTAGGGTTTAGGGTTTAGGGTTTAGGGTTTAGGGTTTAGGGTTTAGGGTTTAGGGTTTAGGGTTTAGGGTTTAGGGTTTAGGGTTTAGGGTTTAGGGTTTAGGGTTTAGGGTTTAGGGTTTTTTTTTTTTTTTTTTTTTTAAAAAAAAAAAATAAATTTGATTGAGTGATAAAAGTTTGACCTCATTTTGAGGTTACATAAGTGGGATCTCATTCGCACAATGGGCGAGGATGACATGGAGAATTAAAGACCTCTTTTGAAGAGGGGATGTGATAATACTGGAGATAGACTCTAGCGTGCTCATCATATTTGAAGAAGGCGGTTGATTTGCATTGGGCTGAAAGAGCCTTTGAGTTCATGAAAGGTGGAAGATCTTTTCAACAGTAGTAGGACGTGTAGACCTCCATGTTGTGCGCCATGAGGTGTTCCTGCAAGACAAGAGTTTGCTGCAGTAAGTGGTTCTAAGAAATAAATAATATGATATAAAGTGGTGAGAAAATAGTTGTTAGGGCAGTGAGGAAGATAGAACTATGCTAGAGTATGACAATAAGCCCAAATATGAACTTGCCTTCCTAGTGTTGCACGCGTCTAATCCCTCTAGCCAAGATCTTGTTAGTACCATCAGTTGCCGTACTTCCTCTAAGTAGATAAGGGACCTTTCACCCCACGAGGAATGACTTGGTCTCTTTTTCTAACTCTTTTCTTTTCTCTTATTCTCTCTCTCTTCTTTCTCTCTCCTTGAGGGCCTCTTCTTTTACCCTCCACTAATGCCCATTATTTGGTGTACAAGGGTAATTCCCTTTGGAATATTAGGCTAGTGATTAGGGGAAGGGAAGTCGGTTACCCCCTTTTTCTTTTTTTTTTTCTTTTTTTTTTTTTTTTTTTGAGGGCCTTGTCCCTCACCCTCCACTAATTGTCTATGATGGGCTAGTGATTTCGGGAAAAGAACTAGGCTGTCTCTTTTTTTTTTTTAAGAGAGAGAAAGGGAGGGAGAAAGAGATAGAGAATCGAGAGAGAGAGAGAGGAGAGAGGGTCAATCCTATGGATATAGATCCTTACCTTCTCATGGGTTCAAGCTGGCTGATGGTACTGATGAGATCTTGAGAGAGGTGCTAGGTTGGCGATTCACAACTAGTTAGCAGGTCTGATGTGCTATAGACCTATAGTTCAAAAGTGGACAGATGCCAACATGTGCTGATAGTTCTATGTCCTCACTACTTGAGGGTGATAGATAGTAGATGTGAGGTGATTATGAAGAGAGTAATGATTGGAAGTAGTGTACCCGAGTGGATTACGATGTGCCTTGTTGTCCGTCTTGTGCTGATAGGCAAAGTGCATTCCACATTGGTGGTATGGGGTGAGCACCATGATGATGTCATGGTTGTGGCTTGTGATAGACCTGAAAATAGAAACAAAGGAAATACGTACCTGTATCTCCATTGTGGTCTTCAGTGGCCAATAGTAACCACCCTTGATCTCCTCCAAGCAATACGCCACTGCCGTGGAGGGGTCGGTAGTGGAGTGCGGTGTATGCGTAAAGAGGGTATGCCGAGTCGCTCAAGTCTATGAGCACCTCGGGCTTTGAGGGGCATGTCCTACCAAGAAGAGAAGACTGTCCTCCGACGCAAACTGACTCCATACGTAGCAAGGGCGTCGGCCGTCTGATTCCCTTCTCGGAACTGATGCGTAATGGTTGTGATGCGCCCTCGACATCGCATGATGTATGTCTAGATATTCTTGAGCCTCCAATGAGGACAAGAGTCTGCACGTAATATGTCCACTAACACTCTGGAATCAGATTCTAAGACAATATTAGTAATATTTTGCTCCTCACAAAGAAGCAAATCATCTCGTATTGCCATAGCCTCTGCCACAGTATTAGTTTGTATATTATAAAAGTTTGAAAAGACAAAGAGAATGCATCTTATACTATCGCGTAGGATACCTCCTCCTCTAGTTGGTCCTGGGTTGCCTTGAGATGCTCCATCGATATTGAGTTTCCACCGTCCAACACTCGGTGGTGTCCATCTAACAGATCGGATAGTAGTCTGGGTCTGTGTAAGTATGATATGGAGTCCTCAAAGCCCAAAAGCCTCATAAATAGAACGCGAGCGTTTCGTTTTGTTTGGCACTAAGGAATGAGTACTTCGAAGCCATTGTGTTATGTGCCTCATAATCTCTATGGCACGCATCACTTGGCTTACAAATCGAGATGAGTTATGTCCCTTCCATATTTCCCATAACATATATGTTATGGAGATACAGATGAAGGGACTAATCTTGACACTCGTCAATGAGTCAATGACTCTCCTAAAGACCTCTAGTGGTGGTCTCGTAGGTCTGTACGAGAGCATTGGAAGCCAATTCGCTAGAAGTTGACTCCAACACTCGACAGCGATATCACTATGGAAAAATAGATGTTCCATACTTTCGTCCGTCGTGATGGAGCAACAATGACATCTCCTTTCCACCTCCTGATCGGTGACAATCACTCGATCGTCGGTGGGTAGTCCTCGGTGCATGAACTTCCATAGGAAGAACGAAACACGAGGTGTGATGGCTGGATGCCATATGAGATTTCCCCAAAATGTCTTTGGGGAGCGGTTTTTAAAGTGCTCCCAAGAGGAGCTACAAGAGAAACTGCCATCTATGGTAAGTGTCCAGATGGGTTGGTCCTCAGTAAAACTCGTCTCAGTCATGGTGATGGCTGGTAACAAGTCTGACGATAGTCCATGCCTCTCAATAAGTAGACGAGTGTCTCCTTGGAGAAGCTGGGCTACCGTCAAGCGAGGCCAAGAGGATGTGAAAGTGGTAAAACAGGCCAATGGTGTGTCCTCTAGCCAAGTGTCGTACCAGGCACTGATCGCACCTCGCCCCACTCGCCAACGAATAAGGGGCACCATCTCCAACCAATGTCGCTGCCAGTCTGCCCATCGTTTGACTCCTTTGATGTCGGCCGGCTGTCGGGCCCACTCACCATATTTGGCTGACACAAAAGAGCCTAGCACCGATGGTGTGGTCCTCATCCTCCAAACGAGTTTCTTTTGAAGCATGTTGAGTACATCTTGAGGGCGCCTAATACCTAGGCCACCCTCATCCGTAGGTCGACATGCTTTTTCCCAAGAAACTCGGCGTTGGCGACGAGGTCCCTCAAGTTGTCCATCCCAAAGGAAGGACGTGCATATCCGTCTAATAGACTGTAAGACGGTGTCTGGTACCTCATGGACTGCCAAAAGGTGTAATGGCATGCTCATGAGGACATGGCGTATCAACTGGATCCGTCCTCCAGGGGATAGAAGCTGTATCTTCCATTCTGCTAGTTTCTTCCTCAACTTGCCCACTAGGGCGTCAAAATAGTGTATGCGCCTACGGCCGAGGAAGATAGGACATCCTAGATAGTCAAAAGGTAAGTGTCCACGAGAGAACCCCGTTAGGCCCTGGATGCGTCGTATGGTCCCTATGGGGGTAGAAGGGCCTACCATGAAGCTACTCTTCGAGGCATTTACGAGTTGACCTGCAGCTCGCTCATACCTCGAGATAATACTCATGAGCCCTCTAATGGATGTCTTACATCCATTGAGGAAGAGTATCGCATCATTAGCAAAGAGGGAGTGTGAGATGATCGGACAACCCCTCTTTGAGTAGTATGGTCGGATAAGTCCTTGATTGATCGCTCGAGTGAGGGATCGACTGAGGACTTCTTCGACCAAGATGAAGAGGGTGGGTGATAGTGGATCACCCTGTCGTAGACCTCTTGTGGCCGTGAAGAATGGTGTGGAGCTACCGTTCACCAATAAAGAGAAATGATTGTCCCTAACACATGCATCAACTAAGTCAATGAAGTCGTCGGTGAACCCAAAGCATCTAAGAACCTTAATGAGGAAACTCCACTCTATCCTATCAAAGGCCTTCTCCATGTCTAATTTGATGATGATGTTGGAGCCTCGACAGTCATGGCCAAGGGACTGTGCTAGTTCATGTACTAGCATGATGTTATCGTGAATGTGCTGTCTCTTAACAAATCCGCATTACTCTGGAGATATAAGTCTATCAAGGAAACTACTCAATCTACGTGTAACGATCTTAGATACAACTTTATAACACACGTTACATAAATTGATAGGTCAAAAGTCTCTAAATGAGGTTGGGGTAGTCACCTTCGGTATAAGTGCAAGGAAGGTGGCCTTCCAACTCCATGTAAAGACTTTACGACGAAAGATTTCCTTGATAGCCTGGATGAGATCAGTGCCAACGATATCCCAACATGAAATGTAAAAATCAGCTGGGAAACCATCGGGCCCGGGTGCACGATGTCTGCTCATAGAGAAAACTACTTCCTTGATCTCTTCTCCCGTGGGTATGGCCGTCGTGAGAGAGCTCTCATGGTGAGTGACCAATGATGGGATCGAAGTGAGCATATCATCAGAAATCTCGATCGGCTGAGAGGTTAAGAGAGTACGAAAGTACTCAACCCCTGCCTCCTGCATGCGGGAAAGGTCCTGATCATATGTCTCTAAAAGAGAGGTATAATCTGAACGTGAGCGGTGAGCGACCGAGGCATGAAAGAAACGAGTGTTTCTATCACCCTCTTGTAACTACTGGATGCGTGATTTCTGGAGATAGAATAACTCCTGTCGTCGCACAACCTCATCAAGCTGGTCGCTCACTCTACTCCTCCTTTCCCAAGCAGCATCTGAATATCTAGCTTGCAGTAGTCTTTCAACCTCTGCTAACTCTTTTTGCAATGCATCAACCTGGGTATGGACATTCCCATAGATATGTCGGTTCCACCATTTAAGGTGGAGTTTGAGATTCCTTAACTTATAGCTAAGGTTCTCCATAGGAGAATCTGAGATATGTCCGTACCAGTGATTCCGTATGAAACTCTGAAAGTCTTCATGTTGGAGCCACATGATCTGAAATCTGAAGGGAGGTCTGTGGGTGCTCATACTCTGTTTAGGGAGTATGAGGATCGGGGTGTGATCTGACCTATAACGGGGTAATATCGTGACTAATATGGGATGTCGCACCATGGCGATGCTGTTGATGAAACAACGATCGATACGCTCATAAATCAAAGCGTCCCCTCGATTGTTGTTCCACGTCCATGCCTCGCCTGATGTAGGTGGCTCAATAAGAGCTAATCGAAAAATACAGTCATTGAACGTCTCCATGTTACGGGCCCTAGGGATCCGCCCACCTTGACGTTCACTAGTATTACGAACACAGTTGAAGTCACCTGTTAGGTACCAAGGAGACTTAACTAGTGTAGGATAGTCCCTCACGTATTGAGCTAGGTCCGCCCAAAGAGTTTCCCTTTCTTCGGATCGATGTGATGCATAGATGACCGAGAAGGTGAACTCTTGGGTGAGATCTCGAACCGTCATAGTGATATGCTGGGGTCCCTCGACTAGCAAATCCATAGAGTATGGTCTAGTCCAAAAGAGCCAAATATGATTCGTGGGGTTGGAGTGAAAATGATCCATACCTAATCGCCTAAGTAAAGGTTGGATACGATCTGATGATATCATAGGCTCAATGAGGCCTACTATACCTAGGCGATACTGTCTGATAAGGCTAGCTATATAGAATTGGGTTTCGAGGTTACCTATACCTCGACAATTCCATATGATGCTAGGTATCATGATCTAATGAGTGGCCCCACGAGTCCTAGATCTCGTGGAGTAAGGTGAGCGTCTAGTGAGTCGTGTGGTCCTAGCCTCCGTCTGATATCCCTCCTCTAGGTAGGTAGTCTCAATGTCAGTCTCAGAGCCACCATCCTCATGGGTACTAGTCGTGTGGCCACTAGTATCATGAGCACTAGATGAGGAGGATGGGTGCGGTGCTTGACGATTCGTCAAGCACTGTCTTCTATCGGGGCTCTCTCTAGAATCAGCGGGTGGTGGATCAAGTATAGGAAACTGATCTGGCGGGTGTAGTAGGGGAGAGGGGGGGAAGGTATAAGAATCAAAACAAGGGGCTACATAAGATGTACTAATAGGAAGTATGCTGGGGGTAGGCCCTCCTAGTAGATCCTTGACAGGGATTTGAGGGGGATGAGTAGTGCCCAAGCCTATACCCTCGGAGAAAGGGGTAGACCTCGGTCGGTGGGGACTAAGAGGTGAAGGACTCCTGCTACGTGGGGAAGAGTGAATGGGCGGGGAGGAGCTGGGTGGTGGAGAGACACTAATGGGTGGAGTGGGGTGGGTGAGTATGGGGGGTCGGATAGCCCGGGGGGATCTAGTATGTGGGGTTTGACTAGGTGAGTCCCTCGTAGTGGGGGATGCTAGCCCTTTGGAAGGCCTAGTTCCCCTCTGTGCAAGTCCCTCAAAGTCTCTCTCATCTAAAGCCTCTAAGACCTCAAAGGTGTTTGAGGTTAGGGGTTTCTTTCCCTTGCCTAAAGGGGAAGGTGTAGCCTCTCGTGTTCCTTTCTTCCCCCCTGTGTGGATGGAAGAAGGGCGTCCAGCTGCCGGCTTTCGCCGTGCATGTTGTGTCTCAATCAATGAACTAGGCTTCTCCTGTGCCTTCCGAGGTAAGGAAGGTGGAGCCGCCATAGGGGCAATCGACCTCTGAGGATGACGAGCACTCTGAGCATCCTTTCTCATTTCGACGAGATAGTCGTCATATGAGATCGGTACTAAAAAGGCTCGTGTGGTCGCCTGTGGTGTACCTGCCTTCTGACGGCATGTGCTGATAGTGTGGCCCAAGATAGCACAATGTGTGTAGAAATATGGTAATCTCTCGTAAATGATAGGCTGATAAAGCTCCTCATCTCTACTACGTATAACGAGAGTCCTTTGTAGAGGGGCCATTAGGTCCACCTCTATACAAACTCGTGCATATCCTGGCCGGTTGAACATTTTTATGCCTGGGTCAAGGCATATGAATGTTCCCACCACGTTTGCCAAAGACTCAAGTGCCTTTGGCGTAAAAAAATGGGCAGGTAGGCCAGGGAAGCCCACCCATAATGGAACCGCATGGGACTGATGTGCTCGGTGCCCTATGTCGGTCTGTGGTGTCCATCTGTGGGTATAGAGGGTAGACTCCCCCATTGTCCAGGTGGGTCGGCTCCATGCTCGGCGATAATCTGCTTCTAGCTCAAAGCGGATGTATATGCTACGATAGTCTCGAGCTCCGATGGAGACTCGGCCCTGGAAATTTCCAGGTGCCAAGTAAATCTTCTCTATGTCACCTATGGTTGGTCGTTTCGTAGTGAAACGACCAACTAAGGTATATTGGAATGCGGCTGCCATCTGGGAGACCTCCTCATAAGTAAAAGCTATTGTCCTCCTCCCATCATCCTCGCTATAGCTTCGCACTGGGACAGTGGTATCATAGAATGGGAATAGTACCTGACGCAACGGTTCCTGTGGTGTGACAGTCTTTGTGGAGGGGACAGAGGGTCCAGACACTCGTTGCGCCCATGATAAGTGTCCAGTGGGCATAGTCGGGTTTGGCCTATGGAGCACAGTAGAGTCTAGCCCACTAGGTGTAGATATGGTGTGCCCAAGGGATGTGTTTGGGGCCAATACGGAGGTCTCAACTAGTGCTGGGATCCTAATTGGTTCGAGGGGCTCAGTCTGAGAGAGCCTAAGGGCCCCTATAGGTAGAGGTAAAATCGGTTCAATCTGTTGACTCGGGGTAGGCCTAGAGGACGTGGCCGAGGGTGGACGTAAAAGTCGGCGTCCTATCTTCTTTTTGGGCCGCAGGCTCTTGCCCCTTACCTGGGCAAGAGCTTAGACCAGTGCAGCCTGAGCCGGCTGCTCAGGCTCGGCCTGGGCCACCTGGGCCTGGGCCGGTGCGTCCTGAGCCGGCGCAGCCTCGATGGGCTGGACCTGGGCCGGCTCAGCTCTAGCCATCTTGCCGGAATCTCGCACGGGCCGCGCCTGTACGGTGCCAGCTGAGCGGGGCTCGGCACGTGATGGCGCAGGGTTCCGTGCGATGCCATCGTCCGCGGTGTCTGACGTTGATGGCGTCAGTAGCGTCCCAGCCGAGGCATCGGCGATCGCAAAAGGTTGCGGCGCCTTTACGGTCACGTGATCCCCTCCGTTGATCTCAAGATCAACGGGTGGATCAAGTTGGCCTTTATGGCCGTGACCGTCCGAGGGCGGTGCCTCGGTAACGGCTGTTGAGGCCTTTATAGCCGGCTGATTCTGACCATTGATCATACGATCAATGGTTGGATCAGAGGGGGCCTCTTCGCTTGCCGTCGCCTCGTTCCCAGAAGGAGAATGGACGGCGTCAACTGCTGTCCCCTCCGATTCGGGCCTCGGGAAGACGCTAGCTGATGGCGAATCACGGACGTCCGTGGTTCGACCGTTCAGCTCATTTACGGCCGTCTCCTCGGTCACATCAACCGGCGGAGAGAGAAGGCGAGGACAG